GAAACTGAAATAAATAATAAGTTATTTTTTTTAGATTTTTAGCCCACCTGGCCCGAAGGTAAGCGGGTAGCTTTGATGGTAAGTAGTTCTAAGTTTCTAAATTAGTACTTGCTCTTAAATGTATATCAGTAATGGTGTTGGCATCAATAATTGCTTATTTTCAAATTTCACATTTTACATTAAATTATTTTCCATTCCAAATATCTGACTAACGCCTCATCCAGTACTTGCAGTACTTTGATTTTTCGTATTGTCAAAATCGGCGAAACCTATTGCCCTGTTCAATAAATACGAATCGTCCATCAACAAGCATTAAGATAGGTCCTGTTACCTAAATTTTAACAATCAAAGGTGACCGCTCCTTAATGGCGTGATGGGTTCACCGGCCACTTAGTACTAGTGACGGATAAGAGTAGCTATGTGTCACTGGTTCATAGTAGTACAGAAGTTAGTCTTCAGGAGCTACATCTCACATGTTTTTCTTATTTTTACGTCCTCAAATAATCAATGCGATATTCTAAACTGAAGGTTAGTCTGGTGTGACAGAGGGCTGCGTTGTTCTTTATCAGACATAGCTAGTGTTTTTGGCATTTATTTTTCTGTGATTAAAAGCAAAAGACAATTGTTTCTCAGATTTATATTTAACAAAACACGCTAGTACTAAGACATGAGTACTCGGCCATACACGAAAATGATACAGGTAGTCCAAATTACTATGCACACCATAAACGAATTGTATCAAATGGCACTAGAATGTTTAACTTTATGATCTTATTATAAGTATTTCCTGGTAATATATTTTTGGAGATAAAACATCAGAAAGGAGGATCAATTTGGTCCCATAAAATGCTTACAATCTGCTGGGAAAAAACTTTGCACCGAACTTAACAGAGTAATGGTCAACCAGGAACTTTATTATTTGATACAGTTTCTCTGCAATAAAACTTATTCATTTATTGTGAATGTCTAACGAAAAAACCTTGACCTACATTCAAAATGACAGGGGTCAAATATGTCCAACACTTTAAATGACTTTTTCGGAAAAACTGATCGGTATAGAATCTTCATATTTGGCTGGTGGCTTCCTTGGATAGAGCCCGACAAAGTTTGTAAAAAATGACCTTGACCTAATTTCAATGTCACAGGGGTCAAATGTGTTAAACACTTTAAAACGACTTATTCTGAATAATCTTAGAGCATATATATATAATAAGTTGGCTTGTAGCTTTCTTGAAGTGTGTCTGACAAAGTTTGCAAATAAAAATTACCTGGATGTCCTTATGATATCACAAGGGTCAAATATGTCAAACACTTTAAACAACTTCTATTAGAGGACTGAAAGTTACATAATCTTAATATTCCGCTGGAAGCTTCCTGTTGTGGAGTCCAAAAAGTTTGAGATTGAAAAAGGGCTTGGTATTCTTTCAAAGTCTGAGAAGGGTTTAAGGGGTCAAAAATATCAAACTAACAACTTCTACTGAAAGGTAAATAATCTTAATATTTGGCTGGTAGCTTCCTGGGATAGAGCCCAACAAAGTATGATTATGAAAATGACCTAGGTCTACTTTCAAGGTCACAGGGGTCAAATGTGTCGAATACTTCAATAGACTTCGTCTGAGGAACTGAAAGATATAGAATCTTTATATTTTGCTGGTGGCTTCCTGGCATAGCTTGAAAATTAAAATATCTTTAACCTACTTTCAATGTCAAAGGGGTCAAATATGGCAAACACTTTAAACGACTTCTAAAGAATCTAAAGGTATAGAATCTTAATATTTGGCCGGTACCTTTTTGAGATTGAGCACGATAAAGTTTGCGAATGAAAATGACCTTGACCTACTTTCAGGGCTACTGGTCAAATATGTCAAAAACATCAAACGACTTTTTCTGAATAATCGAATTGCATAGCATCATAATATGTTACTTGTGGTTTCTTGGAATAGAGCTCATCAAGGTTGCAAATAAAAATGACCCCACCTACTTTAAGGATCACAGAGGTCAACAAACATTTCAAACGATTAGAATTGGCTGGTAGCTTCTTGGGATAGAGTCAACAAAGTTTGATAAGGAAAATGACATTGACCTACTTACAATGTCACAGGGATAAATATGTCAAACACCTTCAAACAACTTCTGAAGAAGAACCAAAAAGCATAGAATCATATAATAACATTTGGCTGGCATTTTCAAAAGGTGAGGCTGACAAAGTTTGCGAGTGAAATATTTGTAGGGCAGTGTAATATTTAACGAAAATATTTTGCAATGACTGCTTTAGTATTTAGGTAAGAGATAATGGCCCTCTAGGCCTTTTGTTTAAAATTAAAACATTCACCTACAATTGGTAACCTTAGCTGTTGCGTGGACATCAATTTATAAAAAATCATAGCCGACATGAAACTGACCTGGTAAACTGACATTTAAAGCAGTGATGTTGACACTTTACGTTGATATTTGATGATAAGTGTAAAAACGCATAGGTCTTTGAGCCTTTAGGTTTGTTTGATGTTTTTATTTTGCAGTGTTTTTTTCTCGACCACTTGTTGGCCCTAATGACCTTTCCTGTGTTGATGGGCCGTTAAGCATTTAATAATAATAATGCAATAGTGTGATGTAACCATGTGTAACAAATATCTGGAGAAAATGGTATAAACGTTAAACAATTAAATCACGGTACTTTGTGTAAATGACCCCATGTGTTTGCCGTAGCAATCAATACGATGTAACTGTATATATTTATAAGTGACCGATACTTGATAAAGGCGAAAGAAAAAATCTCAAAACCGGCAATGTCATGATAAGCAGAAATCAGTAGGTAGATCCTGCAACCGTAACAATATAAACTTTCTCATTCGGAATGTATACCTATACCTTCATATACTCTTTTATTAAAACGAATTGGCAACCAAAGTGATATGAAGAAATAAAAAGTAAGTAAACCAACCTAAGGTGGTTACATGTTCAACAAGCAGAGCAGACCATACACACAAGAAGTTGTCCTCTCACGACGGCACACATGCCATACCTGTGAAAATTAGTGTCAGTTTTATCTCCTAGATGGTAACTATGTTCTTTATTATATATTTTCTATGTACGTTTTGCTATGGTAGATTTTAGCATTGGCGGGTTTTTATGTGGTTAACTATAGTACCAGTCATTGACATATCACAGTAGTTTAAATACGGTAAATTATGTGGGGTTTCCACTTGGGAGAGTAGAAGCCAATGCACAATTAGGTTGCCCGTCACTGCGCTCCGAGTCACACACATAGCAGCAAGGCATGGCGTAGCACCTGGCGCTGTCTGTGTCCGTAGAACAGCTAGCTATGGAGTAAGAACAGGTTAAGAGAACTTCCCCAGGGGTGAGTGTTATGCATAAAACCATTATTGATTGTAACATGACCAGCCAAGTAGCTGTCATGGCCATTTTGTCTATAGTTGATTGAAAGAATTTTCTTTGTGAAATCCGCTCGCTGAATCTGGGGTTATTTGTAAGGGATGTGAGTGTGTAGTTTACGAGCCGGATAATTAATGGAAGCTGACAGGTTTAATTGATATATTTAGGAACTGTTCTATGCGGTTAGGCATATGTAAAATGGTTGTTATATATTGGCAATTTGTAAAAGTTGTTTATGGGTAATTTTACGAACCGGAAGTTCAAATGTATTTGATACCGGAAGTGAACCTTAGATTGTTGACCTTTTGTAGTTCGAGTGACGGGGACCATGCAGTTTGGGTCATGTAGCCTTCGTCACGTCTGCTCGTCACGGACACTTCTCAGACGACTCAGATGCTTCGTTGAGACGTCACAGACAGTCACGCCACAACAGAGATGAGGAAGGCCCTGGGTACTTTCACGACTCCTGAGGAACCCCTATGACTTCAGAGACAAGGTGAATCTACATCACAGCCCTCTGCTACTTCTATATGAACATTCGTGCACTTAAGTATTGTGTTAACACTTGAATAGAAAATTGATGTGGCCTACATTTACATGTAGTTGTGTCACTACAGAACTGTACCAAAAGTGGAACTAACTATTAAGTTTAGTAGTGTGATTTACTTCATGACTGAAGCCTTATATTCAGGAATTTTACATAATTAGAAAATTGTTTACATTCTAGTCTTGGATTTGAAACTTATTACTATTGAGGGTGTGTCAAGGATACTCAATTCTGGTCATGAGGGTTATGTTGATGCTGTGTGGTAATCAGTATGCAATAGAGCTTTGATCCTCTAAGTGCGATTACCACTAGGTGATAGTTCCTTTTATGGAAAGCAACTCAATCGTTACCACTTGTTTATATTCTGTTCATATATATAGTGAATTGTTAATAAATTAGTTGAATTTATATCATTATTGTTGATTCTACCTCCATCATCCAGTATTCACTACTCGACTTCGTGACAATACCTACATCAAAAAGATAACATTTTACGGTCGATTGTTTTACGATTTTAAACTAATGATTGCCAAGTTTTGTTATTTTTCGATTTTGCGAAGTTGTTTAAATACGTTTTCTGTGCCATTTATACATCATGTCATACACTCAGTTGATCTTTACAATTAATTATGTTTCCTATTGATCTTTAACCTGATACGTATTTGCTTTTAGATTCCTGTTTACCTTGTTTTTTTGTGCCTTAATGACTGAAATTGTCGATGAATTGTCAAATAATACTAAAAAAAACAATCCAACAAAAGAGATGCAAATTTTGTATAGAAAACAAAACAACGACAAAGTATATGGAAAATGTTTTTATTTCTATGTAAAATACTATGGTTTTGTTGCATCATAAACTATTTAAATAAGGTGGACTCGGCATCCCGGTTCTTCTATACATACTTTTAACATCTTACTATTGAAATATTTTAATACATATAACTGTCTGACCCGTCCCGCTCTCCCCTCCCCTCCCCTTCCTATTTAGTCCTAGTACCTGTTACTGATACGTAATATGACATAAGTGCAATTGTCTTTAACGAGTTTGTTCGTTAGTCAGTTATAGCTACTTCTAGCAATACTATTACTCACTGGGAGTAATGTAAAAACGTATATAATTAGCAATACCAACTGTTTAGGAGATGTTTAACAACCATGCGTTGTAGTGTATCATAATTGTGTGAATACTATGTTTTGTTAAGTTTGAGTTGTGTAACAACTTGTAATAACTCAACGTGTTAAGTAGGTGTTAAATTGCCTTTTTTATAACTGTAGTTTACTGTTCCTTTTGGTGTTTTCTAAATATATGTAGTAATACAGTCTGTGTCATGTCATTTTCGGAATTTAAAAATGTAGTAGTTTTGTTAACATTTACACCTACGCATATTTACACTCCATATTGTAATCTGCGGTATACCATTGCTTTCAGCATAATGATATAAGTAACTACTTTGTCAAATGCATAGAGACCAACCATTGTCATCATATCAATATTCGTCGGTCACATAATATTGTTTCATAATTGATAAAAATGTCACTAAATAATGACAAAAAGGCTAAATTTACGTATTAACTACACACAAACTAAACTGATGTAAGACGTAATATATTTTCTATCAAACGTACAATTACAAAACCGTTGTCTTAAAATTAGATCACGTGATTACTATTGAAGGTATGTTTATGAGGTAAACTACACACATCAAACTAACACAAAGGTATTTTAAACAAAGACATTAATCGATTACCATAGTCGCCGTAACAGTTAACGATTAAACACGTACTGTTTGAAAGAAAAACAATGCAATTATTTTGGACTGTTTATAATTCTATATAACTTATGTCTAAATTGTCAGTGGCGTCAATGTCGTGGTTAAAAAGATGTATTGGTCGAGCAATCCACCATCGATCTAGTTGATAAGCTTAGCACTCAATTAGACAGTTTCTGTGTGTACACCAATACATTGCTCATATGTCACTTCCACGTTGTCACGTACATTGTAGACATCTTGTTTTTATTGTTCATTTGGTGTTTCGGTAATTGTCACTCCATCAGCCTGGAAAACAAAACAGACATGTCACTGCAATTCATAAACACATCAGATAGTTATAAATATATCAGTCATAAACAAAGACGCACTTGGATAACTTAATATTTAAAAAAGAACTGACTAAAAGTATTGAGTGAACATAAAATTATATATTAATTGGTATTCAAGACCGAATATAATATTTAACAAAGTACTTTTTTACATTGACGACTTAAGAAATAATACTGTTGAACTTATAATTGTTAAGTTGTTCTATAAGAAAGTTAGCTTGATTCAAAGGACTTACCTCTTTGACCTAACATTGCAGCGGACTGCATGGCTGTTGGAATTAGAATGAAAAGGGATTACGTTCATGTTCATGTTAAGGAATGTATAGCATTGCGATATCATATATGAGTAGAAGTTGTTTTTATTTTTGTCAATGACATTTGATATCCAACATTGTCCGTAAATGAAATGTACGAAGTAGGTAATTTCATCATCAATATCTGAACATAACAAAATGTTGGAAATGTAGTTTTTTAAGTTAAATTAAGACTTCTGTAAAGTTGAAAATATCATTATCAGAAACATCAATTGTTCGCATAGTAAACGATGATTCAAATGAACATCATGATATATTATTCCTGCCCAGCAGACTTCAAATAGACAAACCATCAGTCTAAAATATATTCTCACCTTTCATTCTCATAGCCGCGGGTGATGCTAAAAAAATAAAAAATATGTCATATTTTGACTGTATTAGTGGCAGTACGAACTTATTATTTTCATTTACAGTCAAACACATCTGATATTTGTAAATATCTCGGCCATAAACAAAGACGTACTCGTATAATAGTCAGCTCAATATTTAAAAAAAACTGACTGAAGTACTAATTGAACATAAAATGTATCTATTAATTGGTATTCAAGAACAAATATTGTAATCAACAAGGCACTTTTTCACATTGACGACTTAGGAAATAATTATATTGTACTTAATTGTTAAATTGTTCTATATGAAAGTTAGCTTGATTCAAAGGACTTACCTCTTTGACCTAACATTGCAGCAGAGTGCATGGCTGTTGGGATTAGAATGAAAAGGGATTACGTTAATGTACAAATGTTAAGGAATGTATGGCATTGCATTATGATATATGAGTATAAGTTGTTTTTATTTTTGTGAATCACATTTGATATCCAACATTGTCCGTAAATGAAACGTACGAAGTAGTGAATTTCATCATCAATATCTAAACATAACAAAATGTAGGAAATGTAATTTTTTAAAGTTAAATTAAGACTTCTGTGAAGTTGAAAATATCATTATCAGAAACGTCAAAGTTTTGCATAGTAAACGATGATTCAAATGAACATCATGATGTGTTATTTCTGCCCAGCAGACTTCAAATAGACAAACCATCAGTCTAAAATATATTCTTACCTTTCATTCTCATAGCCGCGGGTGATGCTAAAAATGTAAAGTAAAATATGTCATCATTTGATTGTATTAGTGGCAGTACGAACTTATTATTTTCATTTACAGTCAAACACTTTATAATAGAATGCGCTGATTTCCAAAAAACACATGACAGATTTTATGATGTACCGTCTATGAAAAGATTATTCGATACAGTTTATGTGCAATTCTTTACAATAAGATATGTTATATTGTGCAGCCAATATGTTCGATATTGCTGTATTTCATTAATCCTTTTCATATTTTAAGCTATTAAGTTTTGGTCTGATGTGTTTATTTTCGTGAATGTCTCTTTTTATAGTTTTGTTGTTCATAAATGACTCACATTGTTGATTGGCCGTTAAACAAATCAAAAACAAAAAAATAAACTTTTCGGTTAATGCGAGAGATATGCGTTCACATGAATACCAGTAAACACACAAACTGAGCCCTTCGCTGTATTTGACCAACCTTCATGTTCAATCAATGTTTTCCATAAAATAGAAATAACGATATCATTCGCTTTGAGAGTAGCTTGAAGAATTCGTAAATTCTTTTGGTGGTGATTTGACTGATATGCATTACTACTTCAAAAGCGTTTCTTGAAAAAGACTTTATTGTCTTTAACTGAGGTATAACATTATGGCTATTCTTTAGGGATCCAATGCGTCCTTTATATTCTTTCAATACCATAATTACAAGTATATTATAAAAGATAAGTGTCAGATTAAAACAAAATTACTTTGTAACGTAACCCTTCGAAAGCTTATAAAGCTGGCTTACATTTAAACAACAATCGTATGGCAGTTTTTTACATTTATTCGAAAACTGTATTTTCTTAAATTGGCATTAGGGCTATTCTTTAGAATCCACGAAGTTCTTTACATTCTATCAATACCACAAGTACACTTACATTACTAAAGATAAGTACAAATTTAATACAAAACTAGCTTATCGCGTAACCCTTCATGAGAAGATTTTATAAAGTTGGCATTATACTCAAACAACAATCGTATGACAGGATTCGTACGTAACCTTTTTGAAAATTGTTTTTTTGGGTATTGGCGCAACATGTCAGCGCTCAATCAAACCGTTTTTCACCTTTATTGATTAATGAATTTTGCATAACGTATTACGAATTGGAATTTGATTGTGAAGCTTACTAGACTGAATATTTAGTCGTATATTATCTTCTTGGTATTTTACTCAGCAAGGATTAGTTTCTTACAAGTAAGCTAAATCCATCTTAACTGTAAGTATCTGTTTTGTCTATACTTACTTGCAGCGGCTACCATGTCTCCTAATACATCAGCTGAAAACGAATGTAGTGTGTTTAAATAAGCATATAGCATGTAGTATTTTTAATTACACGTGATCTGCTTAGTATTGCTTTTATTAAATATGATAGTAATTACAAAAATGGTCATGTGCATTTTTTTAACACGCAAAAAGCTTAATTAGTAAGCACAAGGAGAAATTGTTTCAGAATAAATATCTTTTGCAACATAACTATGTGGTTTAAAATAAGATGATTGTCTAATATATAAGATATAAAAAAAAAAATATTTTTCGTTGACCAGCTACGTACCTATTTGGTCTGGCGATCTCCCAACTACAAAAGATCAACACAAATGCAATAAAATTAGAGAAAATCAAAAAATTTCATCTAATATATACAGGAAGAAATCAAATTCCGCAGCAGTCTAACACTGGTAATTCAAGGTAAGTTATGATTTAGGTAAATCAGAAGATCAAAGTTGTATATGGTTATAAGATATTTTGGTAATTTAGGGTAAATTACGACTTAGATAAATCTGAAGTTTCATGTTGTATATAGGTGTAACGTATTCATGTAAAAGGTAAGTTACGATTTAGATAAATCAGAATTACAATGTGTATATGGTTGTAACGTGTTCAGGTAATTCATTTATTTCCTTTACAATCGTACCCTAACAAATATGTTTAGAATTAATATGTAATGAATCTGAATTCTTTTTAATTTTATAATGAACGTGAAACACTTCGTTGACAAACTTCAATTTAAAACATATTAAAGAGCCATCTTTAATTATGTTTAATATACGACACATTTAATTGTTATGAATGACGTTATAATGTATGTTTGAGATATGTCAAACATTGAAAATATATTTATGATGTTTTAACACAGCAAAATGATTATATCATCATGTGTGTTATTTTATATTCACGACAACTCTAAATCAAAGCATTAATCAATAGTGTACTCTGAAACAGAGCATAAATTGAATATTGTGATTGTATGCACGATTTACAGGTGATTGGTGCATATTACATGTCATACGTACGTGATCGAAGCAGGATAGCCTTTTCTGTAAAAACAAAAATTAATCAATATTACTGATCCTCTCGACAAGTAATTTAAAGAATATATGTGTCTAAGAACTACATACTAAATAGAAATATATAACAACTTCCATGAAAAGATTATATGTACTTTTTGATATATATCATCTCATAGGTACAAGAAATTATAGATTACTTTGCACTTGGTAAGTTTGGTATATTTCCCCCTTTTTGTACAATTTATTTCAGGTGCAAACGTGAAGTTTGCTCACATATTTTGTATTTATCTATATTAAGGTCGACCGGGCTAATTCCACCCATCCCTTTGACCATCTCAGCGTGGTAATCACATTTGTACAGGGACAAATATTATTACATTGAAAATTGAGAACAGGACATAGACGACATTCAATTAGCTGTTCACAATACTTACGTTCAACTTTAGGAGGCAGGATTATGGGATCTCCTGTAGAAAAATAATTTAGTCATTAACATCAATATGATAATATCAATACAATTTTACATATGTAAAAATATACATTGAAAATGCAAAACATATATTAATTCCAAAGTCATAATATAAATTATATATGTATATATATCTGTCTAGTTATTTCAATATTATAATATTTAATAGCATTTTAAAATGACAGAATTGAACAATTATCACTGGAATATCAATATATTAAAATCACTATGGATTTTTTAAATTAAATCAATACAAATTTTATGAACATGTTTTAACAAGATAACGATATGGAAATAACAACTGATGCACGATTAGTATGCACGCATAGACATGTAGACGAATATACCCAAGCACCCACAAGGTGGGATAGAAGCAAAACCTACCGGCGATGTGAAATTACAACAGACAATATACAAGGTAATTATAAAAAAAAACAAGGAAACCAGAAACTAAGTAAGAAACCGGAACGGCGAACATGTTCGGGTGAACGTGTCCGGATACACGTGTCCGGATAAACGTTTCCAACACGATCATTAATGCAGAACATATGTTTACCATCAACGATCTAAGACATGTATCAGGGGGATTTTTTTAAACTTGAAAAGAACTGAAATACATTGTTGGAAATCAAGTGGTTGCGACAACATTGTCCAATGTCCTCGGCGTGTTTAGACGCACCATAGGTAGAACAAACTGGCTAAGTTCTTTTTTTGTTCTTTTCAATTACAAAACTTGATCATCAACACATACTATGCATCGTCGTGATATATACTCTACACAACCATTCGAGGATGACGTCTAACGAAAAGAAAAGATCAACAACGCCTCACTTTGTCATATTATCAATTTCGATATTACCCCCATACTGAAGTGCATATCCAAATTTTAAGTTATTCTTTTTGTAATTGTAAGCCAAAGCTATCATAGACATGTTCAATATCGAAATTTATATCAAATCGTTTATACAGTAGCTTGGTTGACAATTTATTTTCGATACATGTCTTTAATCTTGTACAAAATGAGTACAGCCATAACTGGAAAACCGTAGAAAAAACTAGTTTGTATAAAAAGAGCTCTCTCTTGAATATCTGTAACACTGAGGTTCCTTGGACTATTAGCTGTATATTCATAAACTATTATCAAATTCTAGCGGTAGGGTTTTACTAAAACAATAAATATCCGCCCGTAATACGTATTTAAAGTCCTAAACATACGGGTTTTATAGACAAATTACCTGTACGAGTTCTCATGTGAGCTGGGACATCCATTATATCAGCTGAAACATAACGAATACATATTGTAATCCTCAAATGGTTTCAGGAAAGAGAGTTCAGCTCTAATTGAAGATATATTTCCATCGAGCATTAAGATTGTTCTACTTTCGTGTTTTATCTTTAGTTAAAATTTTCAGAACATCATTCCTATTTGTTGTAACATTTCAGTTAAGCTTTCTGTATTGTTTTTAGTCAAGAGAAAATACAACTTACCAAGAATATCTCTCGTTAGACCTATGAAAACAAACAAAACACCAGTATAAATACGTAACGTGCATATATAATTATTATAAAACCAAAGAAAGGCGTTCAATATAATTGTAATAGTAGGAAAAAAATGGCATGTTAACTAGGAATGCTGGTTTATTATAACCACTGATATTGGTTAATTTTACTGCGTAAACATTCATTTAAAATATATATATTCAAAATAAGTTTTAAAAAAATCAAAACTATATTCATAACATCTATAGTGTGTGGTAGATCCGTTTATCTGGTCACATGTTTGATGTTGAGTATATATAACTTTGCGATGTTTAGTTTGACACACATGTATTGTCTAGTAGATATGTCATTGTAATGTAACATATACATTGGTTACATATTTGAAGTGGTAGATGGGTACGATGGGTGCGATGTGTGCGATGTGTGCGATGGGTGCTGGTCTAGGCTCTATGGGTACCATGAGTGGTTCTATGGGCGGTTTGAGTGGGGATCTCGCTTCTCTCAGTGCCCTGGGATTAACAGGGATTGGTGGATCTTCTGGTGGACTAGCAGCTGCATTTGGAGCACCAATCGGTATTTGAAGATATCAATGTAATGTTTTATCGGTAACATAATTGTTGCTTTGATCTTTTATTTGTTACAGTATTGATGTGTAGTATAATGTCATTGTAACGTTTAATTGGTTACATAATTAGAGTGTAAGAAATGTATCATTGTAATGTTAAATTTGTCACATAATTCATGTGTATTTTAATACACACACTAACACTACACGCATGCATCTTGCACACAGGGGAGGCCGTCCTTAAATGACCTTAGCTGTTAATAGGACGTTAAACAAAATCAAACAAACAAACAAACAATAATTCATGTGTAGTATAATGTCATTGTAACGTTTAATTGGTTACATAATTAGAGTGTAGGAAATGTATCACTGTAATGTTAAATTTGTCACATATTTGATGTGTAAGAGATATGGCATTGTAACGTTTAATTGGTTGAATAATTAGAGGGTAAAAGATATATAATTGTAATGTTAAATTTGTCACATAATTGATGTGTAGTATAATGTCATTGTAACGTTTAATTGGTTACATAATTAGAGTGTAGGAAATGTATCACTGTAATGTTAAATTCGTCACATTATTGAGGGGTAAAAGATATATCATTGTAATGTTAAATTCGTCACATTATTGATGGGTAAAAGATATATCATTGTAATGTAAAATTCGTCACATTATTGATAGGTAAAAGATATATCATTGTAATGTGAAATTCGTCACATTATTGATGGGTAAAAGATATATCATTGTAATGTTAAATTCGTCACATTATTGATGGGTAAAAGATATATCATTGTAATGTTAAATTCGTCACATTATTGATGGGTAAAAGATATATCATTGTAATGTTAAATTCGTCACATTATTGATGGGTAAAAGATATATCATTGTAATGTTAAATTCGTCACATTATTGATGGGTAAAAGATATATCATTGTAATGTTAAATTCGTCACATTATTGATGGGTAAAAGATATATCATTGTAATGTTAAATTCGTCACATTATTGATGAGTAAGAGATATATCATTGTAATGTTAAATTCGTCACATTATTGATGGGTAAGAGATATATCATTGTAATGTTAAATTCGTCACATTATTGATGGGTAAGAGATATAAATTCGCCACATGATTAATGTGTAAGGTATATATCTTTATAATGTTAAATTGGTCACATAATTGATCATACAACTTCTATGAAGATTATCTCAGATTTACAAGGTACCCCACAGGAAGCTCACTCATATGAAATAGATATTTATTTGAAACATACTTATACATACCCATTTGCTGATATTGTGTCACTGCAGAAGAAAAAGACAACGTATTAAAAGCGCAAAAGTCACACTTTTCTTAATTAATATGTATCGTTATTATATGGTATATATTACTTTTAAATATTGCATTGATGCATTTATCTACTAATGCATTTGCACAACGTCGAGTGTTATATCATCTATTTCTCATTCAACGTCAGACGGCGTTGGTTTATACAAGTGCAACATCGGGTTCTTTATACCCCTAGTCTTACCATTTTAAATCGTGTTTCGTTACCTCTTAATACTGAACGAAGTATGGTGTTATTTTTCATCGTAAACAAAGTCGGGTAACATCACATGTTACTCTAAAGACACAACGTCTGATTCCAATACCGCCAAGTGTAAATAAACAAAGGTACATCTCGTCACATCTTAATGTAGAAGCGCAACGCCATAATATGTGATATTATAGTCTTAAACACCAAATACACATATGGTGACGTCAACTGTAGTGGTAAGATACCTGACGTATATAGCTTGACTCACTTTTTGTAACCATCTGTTGCGGGGTCAGTTGAGCCATTGCGGCATTGGAGTCAAAACTGTCTTGAACGCGGTTGACTGTTGCGCCCAACAGAGCAGACACTAAATATAATTGATACATAGAAATGTAAGGAGACAGGGTTACCATCCACAGATACTCTAGATATAGGTCATATAAAAAGGTACTACTATGTAGCGGATGTATTACAAGCAAATATTTCGTTTTCGATGTTCTGTTGTTACAGTAAGTAGTCTTAAATGATTATAATTTCTTCCTAATAAACACTGTTGAATAAAACATAACCATGAACTATTCTGACTTCAATATCGTTATTGCTTAACTCTTATTCAAAATTGTATTGCCGGAACAGTTTCTAAATCACTTTTACAAGATGAGTTAAACCAATGTAATTTGAAAAGAAAATGAAGTGGATTACAGATACGTGAAATTACAGGATTAACACAAAACAATTAATCAGATATCTGCATTTAAAGCCCATCCTTATCTACGCTATAGCAAGGAGGCAAATAAACTAACACCTTCTGCCTCAAACACACATACAAACATGCATGCATACATTAAACACATGAGGGCACGTGTTTCAATATACATAGCTGTTGAAAAGACGTTGAACAAAACCCCTTTGTTATTATTAGTTGTTGTTTGAAACAGCCTGTCAAGCATATCAATTTGTTGGCAAAAGGCAACTTTTTGTTGCCAGACCATATATGACTGGGCCGTTAGGTAACCAAATAACCAAGATACAAACGAACTCTTCCAAAATGATTTCCCAATATCATATGGTAGAAAAGAAAAGATATTATAACCCAGTACTCACTTCCCAATTGACTGGCAGTGCTATGTGCTGGTTTCACCGCCGATGGAGCTCCAGCTGCGGCTGCCATTGAACCGAAACTGGCCATTCCGTTTGGTGCTCCAAATGCAGCTGCTAGTCCACCAGAGGATCCACCAATCCCTGTTAATCCTAGGGCACTGAGAGCAGCGAGATCCCCACTCAAACCGCCCATAGAACCACTCATGGTACCCATAGAGCCTAGGCCAGCACCCATCGCACCCATCGTACCCATCGCACCCATACCACTGTCTATGCCACTATTTCCCGCTGTTTGTACGCCACCGAATCCAAGTAGTGCTTCCATACCACTAAGAGGTGTCCCTTGTGTTGGATTAAAATTGCTAGTAAATTGGGTCGGTTGTGGTAGATGGGGAGGACTGTACGCTGTAGGTGCAGGCTGTGGTAGATAAGGGGAAGGCGGTGGCTGAGTTGGGAAGACAGTAGGCACAGGTGCTGGTGCAATACTAGGTGTAGGAGCAGGTTGTGCGTCTGGTGTCACAGCGGGCCAAACCTGATGACTTGAGACTGGAACTGGAAGTGCAGGCGGCGTGGGTGTCGCTTTTTGGGATTCTTGAAGTAGCATCTGGAGCATTGCTTCAGCTGAGATGTTGTGTTGTGCCATAAAAGTGACTAACATAGTCATCATGTTAGGGCTTGTTGCGCTTGCTGCTCCTTAATGAATCATATATGAATATTTAACATGTGTTTGCCATGCTAAAAAATAGGCATTTATTATAAATCTAAACGATGAAGAAAATATGGCATACTAATGTAAAAGGAATTTCTTTAGAAAAAATGAGAAGAGTTACAATATTTTTGGATTATCTATATCATTTGCATTCCAATACATTATGTCATGTTACAACTAACAATTAATATTTGTAAATTGACACACATCTTGCTTGGTTTGAAGGTTTTCGAATGCAACTCCATACATAATTTTATGTATCAACTAGAATTTAATACTTGTGAATTGATATACATTTTGCCTCTTGTAAGGTATTCGAATTAACTCAATATTGTATTTGACGTATCAACTAAATGTTACTATTATGCATAGACATACATTTTGCTTGTTTTTAATGTAATCAAATGCAACGCTATACAATTTGATATGTATTATTCGATATATACACATAATGATCTAGTACGTTTGTTTTGAGGAAATAAGTATTTGTATAATGTGTATTGATGTTAAGTTGTTTGTTGTAAAACCTAATTTGTATATTATATTCAGCGTTTAACAAATCAAATTTACACTTTTTATTTAATCCATTTTTTATTCCATTTATGTAACATCTTAATTGAGTGTGGTGTTAAACCAATTCTTGAATGAACTTACTACCATATTGGATGAACTAAGTATTATTGTGAATTGAAAATGTATATTCTCATAAGATATGTAAAATAGTACAAGTCAAAACAAAAATTATACGCATATATTACAACTAACAAGGTACTGCCCAGGGTCTTTGATCGTCAAATAAACGAAAAGTATTGTAAGTTTTGGTACTCTTGTTAGGGCAAAGTAGTAATCTCGAAGCTTTGGTTAAACAACGCTATTTTAACAACGTGAAAATCATTGCATAGTTTTTGTTTCAAAACAAAGACATTCATGTTAATACATGTAATAAAAAGTGTGTGTCGGAGCTAACGATCGTGTACTTTACAATCAGGAAGTATCAGGGTTTTTTTACATACCTTTAACATATATGTCAGGTCTACATGTTTAAATGTATGTATTTATAAGACCTACTGGTATGATGTAAGCATTTGTACAAGTTATCTGTATATTATAAATATGAGCAAAACCAACACGTAGAAAATATGTAATAGCGATATTTTCCTGTATAATATATAAGAGGGATATACGTCTATAATATAAAGAATAAAGAGATCTTCCTGTATGACATATAAGCGAGACTTACCTCTACAATGTATTAACGAGATACACGTTCATGTATCGTGTACTATAAGCGGGATCTACATGTGTGACGTATACATTTACGCAATCTAACTAAACTTTCGGAGACGAAACAATCTATGACTGAACAAATATTATACTCAATGGCATAACAATTTTTATAGTTGGACAAACTCAATCCCTTGGTGTAATATTTGGCAAGAAATCATCGCTCCTGCTCCGTATCAATTACCTTGGAAATACATGTATTTAAACACAAGGTTAAGGTACTGACCTAAGCGATTATATGATCGTAATATAAGGCTCTATATTGCATTATTATATCACAAATGGTCATGAATAGGAATAATTATAGACCAAGAAAATCATATAATATTTGTTATATGTGCAACCGAACAATTTTAAGTCTCACATTAAGAATAGATACTTTATATTTAGTGTATTCACTTGTATTCAGGCTACTCTGTTGGAAGATACACGGAATTTTTCCGATATTTACGGTCTAATTCTTACGGTATATTTGTAATAGGAATGTCGACATCTTAGCCTTTTTGTTTCTTCTTGTCGAAAGTGTAGCTAAAATGCTATATTAAACTGACGGTTCTTAAGATGATCACAAGTTGGTAGATGTGATTGCAGACAATATACCTATTGGAGGCCGAATGCCTAGTGGTACATACATTGTCTCAATAGAAGCTGATGCTATTTACTTCGGACACGTACAGAAGCCGGTGTACTAAAAGCGCTAATCTATCCGGATTCCATATCTGTATACAGAGTCATGATAACAGAACGTTTGGAGAATGTTTCAATTTCAAAAACATTATCATTGCTAAATGATAATATTTCCATATGTCATAAGCTATTAAGCTGGGCTGCTGACAGGTTTGAAATGTAAATAAAGAACGCGCCACAAACAGGTGGCATTGTCACTACCATCGTTTGATTTTAAACTATTCTCCATTCATAAGAAAAGGTTGTAATGTGCAAGTAGGATAATATTTAAAAGTCCAGAACGTATACTATTAGTTTTAATCATTTACGACTGTAATTTGTGATTGGTGTTGTAGGTTTAGAGACAGACGCCGAGGTGTCCAAAACCGAGTGGGGCATTCATTTTTGATGAAACAAAGATCAGCCTTGATGCATAGCAACTCGTTTACCATTTGTCATTAAATAACGTTTATTGAATTGCAGTGACCGTTTCTTAGCAAACACACGAATTAATTACTGATAACAGTATAACAAGCTTTCTATGTCTGTCAGTTTCAACAGATAAAACAAATCATTGCCACCTAAACTAGTTTCGTTTTGTTTACACCATTTCGAGTGCTTTAAAAATTGTCTTTTACAATATTGTTTGATGTTATTTCTTTATTAACAAGTCATAAATCAGTAATTCCTCTGTCCAGAATTTTATGATAATTTTAAGAATTAAAACTATATCTGCCTTAATTTATGGGATGGCATGCATGAGCTGGATATACATGTGGGGTGTATGTATTAGATATATCAGCAAGGTTTACAGGTACAATATTTGGATTTTTGTGATATATACGTCTGATTTATACCGGTTATTTTTCGAGTTCTATTACTTCACTGGACTTATCTGTCTACCAAGGATCATGCGTTTACGATATCTCCATATATGGCAAATGTTAAACCGGCATTAATGCCTGTTTATTTTATCGATTAAACTAGAACAACTGTCCTGGAAACAGTGGAATAATATTGATGAGATATATTTTTGACACACGTTTAATTAATTACCCCTAACGAAGCTGTGCTTGTTTATTTTATTCCATTGTTTCGATTGTGACGCCATAACGTCATAACGTCTCGACTATCCAATTGCATTAAGAATGAAGACAGACTTGAAGCAAAAACGGACAATATTTTAGTTCATGCTAGGATGAAAATATGATGATTTTACGATTAAGATTAACAGTCATGGTGATATGATAAACTGTTCTTTCATTCATACCCATTCCCTGTCCTAAAATTCGTCACAACTTTTAGTTGTAGCTTGTAAAACTATTTAGCACTGATAGACTCTTTTCATCCTATGTAAGATTATCTATGTGTGATTGCAAGGTTAATCACCTGTTGCGGGGGCAGCACGTTTCTGTCTGCTATGTGAATTTGCTGTTTCTGTGGATCTCTTCTTGCGAAGTCCCAGTCCTAACATCCCAAACGGATCTTCAAGTTCAAGTAATATACATTAAGTCATTGCTGATTAGTACAATAACGCATTCTCCTACCATTTAGTAAGTTTTTGGAATATAGTAAATAGATATATCTGACCCGTTTTACTTCCATGATGATTATAGGTATTAGTCATATAAATGATTTTGTGTTTAGTAGCTATGTGAGTATCGTTACTAATAATATAACACTGCATCGTATATGTAACATAGGTCAGTAAAGTAATTGGTAATATACAATAATCTAGTAAGTGTATGAATATACTGTTTCTTGTAAGTACAGGAATTATAATATTAATTTTTTCTATATCAAGTAATCAGGTATATTAGGTCACTAATTATGATATGAGAATATTTTTTATCTAGTCAAAATTAATATATATATATATAATATATTATCGTTGTCAGTATAAAGAGACCAGGTGGGATGCTTTGCTAGGTGCCTTTGGTATGGCATTTCAGTGAATATAATATGGTCATCAAATTCGAGTTATTGCAAGCAGGAAATTACACCAACATATCCGCCTTCAAACATACATGCACACACATTTCGCACACGGATGCATGTCATTAAATGACTTTAGCTACTAATTGGACATTTAACTCTATAAACGAAACAAAACGAACCTATCCAATATATAAAAGTTGTATGACTACTATAAATAAATACTGTATTGCTTGTACCCAACATATAAGTATACTCTTTCAGTAACCAACAAGAAACGTAATGGCCAACAGCTTGTATTACGCTTTACATCGCTAGCAGCTGTACTTTTATAGAAAAAAGGTACTAGCCCAAGGGGTAAGGGGGTTTGTAAATTTTACTGATCAACCATGACAGATATTTCATTTTTTGTGTAACATTACTACAGTATTTCACTTTTATGAAATGATACGTGGTACCTTATATATATTACAAGGTAATTCCAGCCCAACACAATAGTAATAGGTAAGCAGTTAGCTACTTGAAACCCTGCTGATTGTTTGTCGCTTATGACACCATTTCACCCCCTTGTTTCCTTTACCAATGTCTTTTCCGAATTCATAGATCTTTGTCGGTATCGGTATTCGAGGTGCCATTGCAAACACATGACGTAAATCATCAGCAAACAGAAAATGTCTAACAGCTAGAGCACTTCTCCATTTCATCAGCACTTTCATTACTGGGAAATTGTATATGTTAATTCAAGGAACACCTAATTAAATGTTGTCACATCTAATATCTATTACATTCCTGTTACACTGCAAACACTGAAATGGTTTGCGTGGTTTATTTGTAGCCGAACAAAGGATTAAAATCTCTGTAAGTATGCATAAAACTTCAGTGTAATCAAATGAAGATGAATTTGGTTTCTGCATCACCAGGCTATTTCGATCTCAAAAAGGGTTAATTATGTAATTAAAATGTTTTTAAAAGGTAAACACATACTATATGGTCATTTAAATTTTCTTAAAAAATAGATTCGTTTGCAGTAACGAATTTAACACACCTACGTCCAAACATATCACCGCAATATATTTAAAAGCAACTAATTTAAATAGTAGATATAACCACAATACATTTACAAACAACTCACTGTTTAGTTGTTTTCGATATGTATCAACCTAATTGATTCTAATATGTAACTCTTCGAGAGAAATATATAACATATTACGTACATATTAGGGCATCCGTAATGCTTAACGAAAACTATAAGCATAGTACCACTCCCCCCCCCCCCCCCCCATTATTTGGCGACATTAAAGGACATTTTAGGTATTGCTTTATAGTATATCTAAAAGTCAGTAGGTGAGTAAAGATGAAGTTAATAAATGTTTATGAGTATTAGATGGTGGTGATGATGATGCTTATGATGTCGTTATAAAACTGTAAATGATTTTAGCATGCTAATGGAAAGTTCATTACATTTAGCATATATCATTGGTATATATGTGTTAATCAGATTGATGACATTCTATATGTGTGTGTGTGGGAAAGTAATATATATGAATCCATCATGCTATCGACAAGCTAAATATATTCATCATGCTATTGACAAGCTAAATATATAACGCATGCTAAACATAAGCTTGAAATCCACGGTATTGATAAGCTATATGTGCTTGTCATGGACAATAAATAATGACATGGGATATTTTAATAAGACGATCAGTAGGTATAGCAAATAATTAAATGTTGAATAAAATTGTATACCATATTATTAATGAATTAGGTGAATCTCTCAATTTTGATTAGTTGAATTTGATATATTGGCTTTAATCTTAAGCGTTATATCTTTTATTTTAATTCAGCATGTACCTTCTATGTGATCAAACTACGTTTACAAACATTTGGCAATAACCTCGGTCGGTACAAAGGCAAAACAATCCATATGATATTTCCATCAAATGCAAGTTCAGCAGTAACTCGTCAAAATATTGATGGTATTGTGATATTATATATATTACATCAAATTTGACTCGTTTTTTCGTCAATGCTATATAATATGGGTACATGGTACTCACTTCCGCCGCCGCCGCCTCCGAACCCTATGACAAACAAATAGATGGAAATCAGTATATATGTAAATGATGCATGATGTGAATACCAAGAAATACACAACACTAAACTGAATAGCAACACATTAAATAGAAAAATGTCCTATTCAAAACGATATGCACATTCATAAATTTGAAGAAATAAAATTTGTACTTTTTATTTTTGCTTTTATTATTATCTTTGGTTTTTAAACAATGTTCAAAAAATTTGTTTTAAATATAGATATTGTAAAACAAACACATACTTAACCGTTTTGGAATACTCTGACACTGATGTCTTATTGAAATTGCTACTGATAAAGTATGTTTTTGGATACAGATAGTATTGAAACACTGACAAGGACAAAATAAAGATATCGCTACGCAATTTGCTTGATAATTCTCCCTTTTATTCAATTGTTATATATAATGTTTTGTTATGATACATTATAGTACATGTTCCTAATTTAATACTGGTTTACTGTTAAAGGATACTGGAATGGTTAATAGGATATAATAGAACACTGGTTTGATATTTCACGGTTTCTGTATTGTTGTTGAATTTGTGCAGTAATTATTTACTCATTTATTTCACATCACTTGCATATGCGGATGAAAAGCGATGCTGCAAGACTTTAAATTTTTTTTTTTTTTTTTAAACATCCATATATTTTTTGCAGAAAAACTAGCATTGCTTATAGGCTTTCAATTAGTTATTAGAAAAAATACTGCCCTGTTTTTTAAGTCGGTAACAAGATCGAAACAAGAAGATGACGTAGCTACCTGTGCCAAAGCATTACTAAAATATCATAGCTATTGGCACCAGTTATAATCATTTCGATCATCTACAGTAGAATGGTTGTTTTCTCGGCCATTGGAACTGTAATCACCTACGTTTTGTGCGAAACTATTATCTTTAGTTCATATGGTGTCAAAACTTTTTCAATGTGTTTTTGTTAAAAGTACAGTGAACGCAGCTGGTGCCGTCTTGTGCTTAAATTATACTGTTAGCTATTGAAATTATGGGAGAAAATTATATAACACTGCCATACATATCATAGCGTCTTTGTATCACTGTGTGTTATGTGAATTTTTGAATTATTTATTTAATTTGTAAATTGACTTTTTTTTTCATATTCATTTTTGTATAATCAAGCAATAGCATGATATGTCCACGGAAGTGTATAATATTTGTGTTCAATTTCGAAATATGTATATGATATTTACATCATCTTTGTTTTATATTGTTTTCTGTCTGTTTCATACCTCCCAAACCGCCGCCCATTCCACCCAATCCTCCCATCGGAGACTCTGTCAGAGAAAAGGAAAACAATCACATAACTACTAGTCAACACCAGTCATTACCAGAGACAAAACCATTGTATAACCAAAACTCAACACAGAACACAGTTTTCTAAATGATGAAAACAAAACAATTAAAATAAAATATATACCATAACAGAATTGAACATTGCACTTATACATTTTAAGCAAGGTTTTCTATGACGGAATGATGTATTTACTTGGATAGTATTTTTTGTTGCAGAAAGACATCGCCGTAGCACTGTATTTCAACACTTCAACATTTAGCTACTAAAGAGATATAAATTATTGTATTTCTGCCCGTAAACATCAACCTCTACTACAGAGATATGAATTATTGTATTTCTGCCCGTAAACATCAACCTCTACTACTCTTGACGTAAACATTAACTCTAGTTCAGAGATAGAAATCACTTTAACTCTGCACGTAAACACTAACGTCTACTACAGAGATAGAAATCATTGTGACTCTTTACGTAAAATATCAACTCTACTACAGAGATAGAAATAATGTTATTTCCACGCGTAATTATTAACGTCTACTACGGAGATATATATCATTATATTTCTATACGTAAACATCAACGTCTGCTACAAACAGACAGTCAAATAACGGAACAACTGCAATTCTGCACAATTCCTCTCGACAAAAGAAACTATTTTTTAAATCTTAACCACTGTAATACAAAAGAATATTTCCTAACTGCAACACTTGCAAAAATAAGAAAACAATGTCTTTTGTCAGCATACATCCGTCTTTGCGTATTGCAGAGTTATCTTCTCTTGTGAGCAGGTATTTATTGTTACGTCATTGGTTTGTGTGAAAAAATTACGTCGTTTTCTCAAAAATTGATGACGTTACTCTCAAAAACAAATGACGTAACAATCAATAGCTGCTCACAAGAGAAGATAACTCTGCAATACGCAAAGACGGAAAAACAAAAGAGAGAAACAATTCGCTACGGGTATTTTGCAGAGAAATTGATGAAAGATGATCACGTATAACGTACAATTGGGGATGTTTCTAGGAAGGAAAGATTTGGAACTCGCAGGGTTGGTAGGTGAACTTTTAAGGATTGAATCGGATGGAAATCATTTCACCCAAAATATTGTGGGATTAGCAGCAACTTAAGAGTACTTATCTGTACACACAAGGTGTGACCGATATTATAGTGAGGGTTCCCTTTGCTATGCTAAACCATTGGGAAAACATGCACGGGATTGGTAAACATGTTGTCAACATATGCCTAATTCTGCAACACCAGGGAAGTGATTTAAGGGGTTACGTGTATGTTCAAATAGCGACATGATATAACGATAATCTTAAATCATCCTTTTCAAATTGAATGAAATGATATATTTCATGCGAAAAAAAACATACCAATTAAATGTTATTATGTTAAAAATATGACGTCATTGCGATAGTGTTGGGACAGTTAATTAGTGAACAAAGGGTGTATTTTAAACATAATTCATTCAATACTACACCAATACACACCTCCTGCCTCTGCCGTACCTTCAAAAAATAATGTCCATTTGCTCTTTAACGATTTTACTAAATAATGACTTTTCTTTTTCCTCAGAGAAATATTTTTCTGACGATAAGGTGAATTAATTTGAAAAAAATATTGTTAACTAGTCTTTTATAATATTATTATTATCTACGAAAGTCTTGCAAGTAGTGATGTACACGGTAAAGAAATATTTTTTGCTGTATACGGCAATGATTTGTAAGTGAACATCTAAATATTACCGCTTTGAACCCTAGAAAATCGTCGCTTCAACATTCTAAAACAGCGTTTTGAAAAAGTGAAAATGCAACGATAACCATAATTAGCCACCGTATTCGATCCTTACTTGAAAACTTGTTAGAACAATAGACTGCATTACAACTAAATTACGAATATTAAGAAAACAGTGTCTTTGTCTGACTAGGAATCAGTCCTTGTTTCAAGTGAACTGTTTTAAAATAACCAACATCTCTATGTATTCACACAACCCGTGTTAAGTTGTTTGATAAATAAACAGGACTTTAAAGCAAAAATCACAACCGCAGATGTATTGACTACGTCAGCCATTATACAACTTATTTTGGATGAATGTTCTTGTTAACGGTGTTTTCCTATCGATATATTGAGTAACACTGAAGGTTGAATATATAATCTACGTCATTTCTTACCTCCTCCGCCACCACCTCCTCCGAATAAGGATCCGAAAAGACCTGAAACATACATTCACAAATTAAGGGGTACAGCAAAGACATCTTGACTAATAACTAGCAATATGAAGAAAGGAAGCACTTGTTTGGAAACAAAACCCGAGTCTACCAAACGCACAGCGACATCCAAGTCCACCAGTGTCAGTACCTCGACTACATGTACCGTATAAACCAAAGCTACAACAGACTACTACTAATACAACACATTAATAAACGAATCGACATATACATTTTTTTTTAATCCTTTTTCATAATTATTATGAAACTAGTTATTTCAACCATATTGTATCACTTGTGGTCGGTGACCCATACCTTTTTACAAACCCCAGCCGTCTTTGCGAAAGATAAGTCTAAAAACGGTGGTATTTAAATTACAGTATAAAGCAAGGCGACACTACATTGTTTTACTAGTCTAAAACAATGTTGGTTGGTTGGTTGGTTGGTTGGTTGAAGTGTTTAGCGCCTACAAGGGCGGATTCATGTAGGCGCTTAACACCTCAACCAACCAACCAACATTGTTTTAGACTACCCACAAACCACAGTATGAATCAAAGGGGCACATTAGTCTTACAATAATTATATTTCAACAACCTTGTGAAGCACAACAACACCAGAGTCCAGCGCATATGCTATTACAACGATTGTATGTTGCAATGCAATGGACATAACAACGTCATATTTGGTAAATTAGCCGTACATGAATGGTACCGTCGCCATCACATAAAGGCAAAATCGAAACTCGGAATCGATTGGCCAATACAACATTATTCGAAGAAACAGAACAATCTTTAGATGAAAAACAGTGTTTTGAAGAGAGACTTGTTCACTATAGTTTATTCTTTTTAAATACGCGTCATTAAAATGCTAACCTTGACAGTTCGGTCGTTAACATACAAAAAAAATGTTATTAAGTGAAACATTATGGTTAGGTGTACTCGTTAATTTCTTCTACACTCTCCGATGTTATCAATAATTTACATTAGAAAGTATAAATTACCTCCCATTCCTGCTCCTCCTGCACCTGCTCCTCCCATACCAGCCATCAGGGCAGACATCATATCTACAGAAAAACAAAGGGAGGTAAACAGTGAAATATGAATTCAAAAAGTCATTCCACCCTACTAATAGCACACAATGACCAATACCGTTTCTCTCAAAGGTACAACACCACAATTTATACGTTGTGTCTCTTTTTTAGATAGCACGCGACTGTTTTTCACTTTTAAGGATAGCACACCACTATTTTATACGTTTTTAGATCACCTGAGCTTTGCTCAAGTGACCTATTCTGATCGCTTTCCGTCCGTCGTTGTCTGTCGTCGTCCGTTGTGCGTAAACTTTTTACATTTTCTCAAGAACCAGTGAATGGAATTTTTGGTCAGAATCATCCCTGGTAGATGAGGCTACAGTATTGTAAAATTGAGATATCGACCCCAACCCAAGGGGCCAGGGCGAGGCCCCATCGGGAAAATTAACCAATATTTTAAAAAATTTCTCCAGACGCAGAGGTACTATAGTCAATTTCTCTGCATAGATGTTTATATATAGTTATATAGTTTATATATGGGAAAAAACACATTTGTGTATATTTTGTTCATTTTCAGCAGGGAATTATTAAAGCTTGGTTTGAATGAGTATGATGCCAGATGGCAATTAAATGGTACGAGAAAATAAGATCCTGCCCATCCCCAGGGACTGGAGGGTGGGGCCCAAACGGGGATTATAGTTGAAAAATCTTCTTCATCAGCCTCAGATGTTTTACTGTTCTTGGATAGAATAGTCCTTACCTAAATAACCATTACCTAAATTGTAAATATCATTTTCCCCCAGGTAATCTGCTCTCCCTTGGGGAGAGGGTCTAATTTTTTGTACATCTCAACAATGAAATTGCAATGCTATCAAGAGGGTCCTGGGTACAGTCATCCTCTGATGTAAAGTCAATAAAATTCAACAAATCAAGCACTTGTTTCCAATCGTCATTCATGGAAACTTCAACAATGATATTACTGGTTTCCTTTATGTAGCGACATCCACCATGTGGACAGGGGTATTGCCAATATCAACTTCCCACCGCCACAAACAACAGTGGAGGCCAGAAGTCGCTACCAGGAAAAACTGCCTAGATCATAAGAACATTTAGCAGTGACAGTCTGAAATACATGTTTGTTTTCTGACTGGATTCTATCTCTATTCCACCCTGGAGAGTGTTTAAGAACATATTGTTCTTGTCCTAATGCAGTCAAATGAACACCATCATCTTCATACAACTCTGGTGCGACAACAGCCATATCTGGATACTTAATGTAACCTCCCCGTAAACCAATAACACAATTTGCAACACGACTATTGAAACGAATCAATGCAGATTAACACCACAAGAACGATAAAGATAACCACCTCACATCATGTTACAATCGGTACACTCCGTCAATACCATATCTTTGTGGATTTAACCTTTACATATAATAGAACATTCCATTAATACATTAAAGACAAACCTGCTCCTCCTCCTCCTCCTCCTCCTCCTCCTCCTCCTCCTCCTCCTCCGCCTCCTTGACTTCCTGAGCCAGAACCTTCGGCAGGATTTCCTGAAAACCAGAAGAAATTGTTCAACAAGGAAATAAAATGTTGACAGCAGGGATACAACACGCGGGAAAATGAAAATCACAAAATAAGAATATCTGCATAGTTACATTAATCAAGTTAAATCGAGAAGTTTTGAAAGAGTTTTAAATGAAACGCATTTGATTACCTATTTTCAATGGAAACATCAACTTGAAAATGAATCATGTCTCACAGGAAGGGTACGGGTTTTAGGAGAACGTGCGACGAAACAGATTATGATAATTTGTTGCTTAATATTATTTATAGATTACCTTCGGCCGGTGATGATGTAGAACCAACTGGAGATTGGCTACCTCCACTACTTCTCGAACCACCTCCAGCCCCGCCCATCATTTGAGAAAGCATGTTTGCCATATTCATACCGCCGGGTCCTCCACCAGCTCCTCCTTCTCCTCCGCCCATAAGTGCTGCTAAGCCTCCCATACCTCCCATACCTCCCATACCACCCATTCCACCCATTCCTCCTCCTCCTAGTGCGCTCATCATACTGGCCATATCGCCCATCCCACCTCCGGCTCCACCAGCTCCTCCCATCAAGCTACCTGAATGACGACATAACACAAAATGATTATTCTAGATACACTTCAGTTTATAATAATTATCTTAAATAAAAAAAACCACGTCGTTTTATATTTTTGTACGCATTTGAGAATTGACATAATTGTCCAATTAATCAAAAGGTGTATGGGTATCAAAATGGATGAGACCGATTTTGAACCAATTCAGAGTAAAAGATTTGGAACATTTCTCAGTTGCTAATCGTTGTCTGTTAATGAGAAATTCTTCATAAACTTTAGGATATGATATTTATGTATTTGGAATAAAGAAACTATATATTTCACACAGGGTTCATTTTTTTGTACAGGACAATGTTTTTTGCATTTAAAACAGTTAATGGGGAAATCCGAGAAAGTATAACAACACAAAAATACAATATAAAGTTATAACTGGGAATGTATTATAATAATTGACATCTAGCACTTAGGTAACTACTGTATAAATAGGAACATATCATGACAAGCAAATGTATAATTAAATCTCAACCATTATAAAACATATGTGATAGAGATTATATACTTACGAGTGTATTTATCACTCACACGTAACATTAACAATATAGTGTCACCCAAATAAAACTTAAACATTAAAATATCGCATCCTGAGACCTAAACCAATACCATCAGGGAACACAGTAACAATTCAAAAAACTTGTAAAGACTTTGTACTTTTCAGCTTTAGAAGCATGATTCATAGCCAAATATATTAACTGGGTTTCGTAATTGTTCAGCTAAAAGTCTAAAGGGAATTTTATTTTTCCTGAAAAGTTAGTGAAAGTCTGCAAGACTAATTTTTGAAACGGATTAAACATCACATATTTCGTCGTAAAAGAGATTTAATTTACAGATGTAATTCCGGGGTTTTTTTTGGCATGTATTTACCTCGAAACAACAAAACAGAAAAGCAAACACTGTCGTCCACAGAAAATGAATTGTTACTGTAATTTCCTGCATTAATTATAATGCTGCTAAGCATGCTGTGCATTAAATGCTAGAGATATTTGTGGTGTGTTGGGTACGCCATAATTCAAAGATATAAGATGTGTTGGGTACGCTATAATTGATAGATATAAGATGTGTTGGGTACGCTATAATTCAAAGATATAAGATGATCTTTATGGTGCTTGGCATGCTAAACAAAATCTTATGAGATATATGAGATAGTGTTTGGTATACTATGTGTAAAATGTTTTAAGGACTTCCCACCCTTCGTAATACACATGTTTTTCTTGTCGTATTTTCGTGTCGTCATTTCCGTATTGCGTATCGGGCATTCCATTACCGTGGTGTAAATTATAGTAACACCTGGTAAACAATAATACACGTGCCTGACGATGATATGTCAACCCCCGATATCGAGACTTAACTTGGAAATGTGTAGTCACACGTGCTTCAGAAATAAAGCTTATGATACAAAGACATTAATTAACTCACGAGAAAACACTGACATACGATCAGACGGCTTCAAAAAGGTCGTATATGAGGCGCATGGAATGGTTTGTAAAATAACAAGATCCCTATAAAATGCAAGTGCATGTGTGTGCACGTAATAACGGCATACAATGCGATAGCCTATGGTTACATATTACCTGACATGTTAATATACCATGCTTAAGCAGGCTATGGAATGATGTCCAAAGTGTACATGATGGAGAGTAATTTTGTTCTATAAAAGAACAGTAAATTGTAAATTAAATATAATAATTTAATTTATTTCCGTCGTTTTTGGTATAGTAAAGAAAATAAGTGTCATTTTATAAATTATATCCCTCTGCAAAAAGTTCCGATTGTTTTCAAGGTAGATAACTCTCACCAGGATCAAAATTATTGTAAAATGTAAAATAAATTAATTATAAAGACTTTGTGTGTATTTGGTTCAATTTTTCACTCTTTGTGTATGAAACTATGTGTCCTGTTTGCTTTTAGCTTATATTTAGTTACTTTTATCAATACAATTTCATTAAAAAACGCTTGTTGTAACATGTTGTAGACTTTTATGATAGATACAATATTTGTAAGGTTGACTAGCAATGCTTCTTTTCATTATTTTATTGTTATAGTTTTGAACAATGCCACTCGCTCAAAAAATGTGAAAGTGTTGAACTTGACAAAAAATCATTTTTTCTGCATTTTTTAACAAAAAATCCCCAGTTTATCGGAATGCTTAGATTTTCAAAAATCATCTCTACATAGTGACATAACCATTATGTGAAACTTTCATTGAATTCTGCTTGTTAATTGCGAAAAGGTGGAGCCTCCTTAAATGGACAATTTAGTGAAGTAAGATGTGTCACAACATTCTTCATGAAAACATAGTTTGATACTCCTTATGAACAAGTCATGTTGAGAAATTGACAAAAGGCAATGTTTTGTTGGCGTTTTTTTATCATTAATGGAAAAATTCCTAACTGTACAGCCGTACGTTTTAGCGGGATCTGTCGGTGAATTGCTAGCTAACAGCCGAGGAGAGAAGGTAAATTCCTGCCTCTATGGAATACAAAATCATCTCCAAAAAGCATCTCAACCATCGTTATAATTGAGCGTATTTTACGTTTAAACCTATGTATATCGTATTTTCTACGGTTTGAAATTATCCCTGCCGCATCCTCTTTGTGTGGCATGCTCTAACTGAACCTTTTCGTTTTTATACAAATCCAATTATGAACAGAAATGTCTGATATTATGATATTTATTATTCTTACTTGTGATGTATTGTGTAAATTCAAGAATGTGTTATTTGTGAACTGTAGACTCGTAACTGATACTGTGTTTTCGGTCGACAGCGTGGTGCTGTACACGTATACTTCTCACTGAAACATCCGGATGTTGAGCTATTTCGGTCGTAGCTATGTAAATCACCGGGTTTCCCAAAAGATGAAACTGACCACAATAAATGTTGGCTGCAGGTCATGTCATTGCCAACTGCGTACATTTTTGTTAGGAGATATATATTTTCATTATAGACTGGATTTTCAGGTTGTCATTTTACTAAATAGCCCCTTTAAGATAATTGTAATTTAGTCGGGCATGCTGCAAATAGAATGTATTAAGATAATTGTAACCATGCTAGGCATGCTTCATATACAGTGCACTTTAGATAGTTTTTATTTTGTCGGACATGCTGTGTATCAACTGTAAAGATAATGTATTAAAATAATTGCAACTGCGTGACATGCTGCATATACGGTGCATTGAGATACTTTTATTTTGACCGGGCATGCTGTATATAGATTTTTTTAGGATAATTGTAACGTTGCGTCACATGCCATACAGGTGCTTGGCATTCAGTATTAACAATACGTTAAGATGTAAAGTTAATAATAAAAAATGAAAAGGTTATCGACCTGTTGTACGTTCAAACGTCACTGATTAAGTAACGCCACGGTAATCCAGAACATGTGCATATGATAAAACGTGCAATTATTTTCACACTTTGTTTCAACGAATTGGAAAATATCCATGTCATTCACTAAGGAGTGACTGGGCTCTAGATTACAGAGGAGTTACGAATTATAGCATAGTCAACTTACCGGTACCCTCGGACTGTCCCATCCCTGATAGTAGACCTGGATACATTAACATAATGACAAATACAGAAACGTTCCGAGTAGAACAGGTGAATTTCATATCATTCGCTTTCATGTCACCTTATGTAATTTATTTGGGGATATGTTTTTAACATTTCAGTGTTTGACGGAGGAAATTTCTGTATCGGTTAATAAACATAGTTTCCAAATATATTTCGAACAGTCTTAATATCTCAGTGTGCTAATTTGCGTGTCTGACTAATACAATTTTTGACTCCGAGTGTAAGCATTTCAATCGGATGGTTTGAATTGGGGACGTTTGCATTTTTTTATCGAGATTCAATGCATTCTAGTTTGATGTTTCTGAGATTCTATCCCATATTAATACGATGTATCGTGGAAGTATTTTGGATTTCATGATTGAAATTCAAATTATTTCAATTTGGTGTGTTATGGACTGTGCAGATGGATTTATCTGTGTGCTAATCTATGCATTTTAGTAAACAAAGGGATTGAGTTTAAATCCACCAGGAAAACGGAATGATGGGGTTGTTTATGAGTTGGTCAGTCATTTCGTCGGTTCTCTGCGGTATAATCCAATGTTATCACTTAAAAACATACTTTGCATTGAACAATGTTCGATATTAGAATTTTCATTTCATATGAAGTATGCTAATTCATCTCATAAAAATAAACTATTATGTTATTAGCATGGAAATAGACCAATGAAAATTAATCAAATTTCAACAAATAAATCCGTCTGGCTCAATACGTTTATCCAAAACATTTGTTCAAACAATTACTGACACATTTACCCGAAAAAAACATTGAAAGAAATCTGACCATCACATTCGGTAACATAAGGTGAACAAGAAGATTGTGACATGATCAATACATTACAGCAAACGTTAATACAAGTTTCACTTTCAGAAAATTTAGCAATTTCTTATATATAATTAAATTAATGTTAACTCAAATTGTGATCATCTTAATTAATTCAAATTGAGTTTGTATGAATATATCAGTCGTTATCGATATAATAAGAACAGTTATGATCCATCGCCAAAGTAAATGTAAACGATAAATACATGCAAGAAGCTCAATAGGTTATACAGCTATCAGATGACCATAAGCCGAAGATAAAGATATACGTTATCACTACATACTCATCATCATCATAGATCCAAGTCCTGAAAACAAAAAAGGTTACGAGATAAGACAAAAAAGAGATGTGCAATGTTGAGCATCTTAGAAAAGTGTTCGAATAACAACTCATGCTGGATAGTCATGCTTGAATACGGCATGCACGCATGGAATCAAAAAGAAATAAATAATTAACATTGTAGAAACGGACAACTTTTCACATAATTACGTAAACAACATTTCGCACACAAAAGCTGCATTTAATGTAAAAATATTTCGACATCGGAAAAACAACACTAGCAAGATGACGTCATAATAAATGAAAAGACGTCAGAATTTGTCTAGACATTTGTGCTTTTCGATATCAATCACTAATTTTGTATGCACATACTTAATTAATATCATTTGTAAAAATATTTTTGAATAATGCGTTATTTTATTTCGTTTTAATTACAATTGAAGTTCAACCCTTATTATGTTAGATATATTTGGAAACTAAATTAACTACTACTTGAAAAAGGTCCAAACCAATTCATTGGTATATGGGTTCGTAAATAATGAAACTTTCCGAGAGCAACTGAAAATGTTAGAGAAAACATTAATACCTCCTTCTCCCAATCCTGGCCTCTCGCCTGGTTCCGGTACCTCTATACCACGGGCTGAAATGTAGAATTACACCGGATGCAATAAAAGTATACTGCAGTAGTTATTTTTTATTTAAGTGATTGCAAGATAACCTTTGGTGGCTGATTTTATTTTTAAACAGTAAATGCTTGAAATTCATTATGAAAGAGCCGACCCACAGCAATTTTTAGTCGTCTTTTTTCAATTTTCTTTTCTTTAAAACGTCATACAATGTTGTAAATAGTCGACATGACAATAAATTAACCAACAAATTACATTAAAGATATTGATAAATCTCAGAAATCTGTATCCAGTATCGAGGTCACTGACTTATTATAAACTGCAATACCTATCTCAAAAATAATAATATTTTTACTTGTAACTTTTATGAATAAATGTATTAGTTTCAATGCATTGAACATGTGTACAAATGTCTGCATAGATATACTTTTTTTCTGTTTCCCCTTTTATTGACCCTTTCGTTTTATATCGCATAATATAACAAAACGCTACAAGTTTTGCGCTTTATTTGTAAAAAAAAAATCTGATTGGTTGACGTTGGTCGGAGATCAGTTAAATGCTGTGCTTTATGTAATGTTCGTTTTTACATAAGAAAGGGGGAAAAACCATTAACTATGCACTAGAAAGTCTTGTTTGGCATTTCTAAGATAAAGTTGCAATTAGTTACCTTGATTCGTTTTTTGGAATATACCGCATAGCAACAGAAACAATAATGAGTATACTTTAAATATGTTTTACAATATTCTTAATAAATGGACTCAATTAGAAAATACTAGCGTACCTCTCAGCATACGGTCTCTCATCTGTCTCTGCATCATCATGTCTGTGCAACAAAGACAACATGGTCAATGAAAGGAATAGGTGTCTAAATAGATACGTGGATATATATCTCGCCATGTTACAGTTATTGATTCCAAAGAAACCTGTCAGTAATACTGAATTATTGTAATATAATAACAGTCTCGAATATATTTCTTACCATACTGTATGCTAAGACTCTCAATAGAAATTATCTCCTTTTCCCACAAATTGTAAACACTTTATTTCTGAAACTCGTCCTGAAGTTTGGAGTTTCTGTCACCAAGTTATTGAGAATTAAAAAACGATCATGCTTATTCTTCAAATCTATTCTAAAAAACAACTCATTACATTTCCGCTTTTATCTGCTCCATGCGTAGAAAATGTTTTGAAAGAACAATCAATTGGTTTCATAAAGTATTTGTTAAACTTGGACCAAAAACAAACATACCTCAGCTTGCTTTGCATTTGACACAAATAGGTAAATGTAGACATTTTCTATCGACATGCACTTTCACCAGCTCAATATGCTCACTTAATACTCTTCATAGTACACATTTTATAACTAGTGCATCTATTCAAAAGCGCATTTCATGTAATAAAGCGCGTGCATCGGAAGCAGGATGGTACATTAAAGCTCAATTTTTTAAAGCTCGTGTTTTTGAAACGTTGCGAACATTAACAAGCACAGCTTACGTTCTGCTATTCTTATCATTTATTAGATGTTATGTTAAATCAATCGTTGCAAACAATAGTCAATGTTTTTATACGTAAATGAACGGTGCAATTTACGTTCAACATACGTATCATATTGGTATATATCATATAATTAATCTTTTATTGTTAAATTCTATTGGGAAAGGGCTTTATATAAGTTAGAAAACTTGTGCCCAATCCCAATGTATATATTTTGATACAAATAAAATACGTTTAAATCAAATATAATGATATATGCAATTATTTAACAGCGACTGTGCGGATAATATAATTTGTCAAATGGTCAAAGCAATGGATAATAATCAAGACGCAGAAACGAGTATATAACATAAAGCCAGCATTACAGCCTAATGTTGATAGACAAGATTACGTTTGTAAATGTGTGCTGACAACAACATTTTTTACATACAGATGTTAGTTTCTACTCACTTCGCCTCATTTGGAGAAGGTTTATGGGTCTACCTGGTATAACAGTACACAGGAATCAGGAAGGAAAATTACATAATTCAGCGTGTTATATTTCAATGACGGTTAGAGATGCTGCTAGTACTTTAAAACGAATTTAACTTATTTCTCTTCCGAGCTTTGTGTGAAGCAACATATCCATTACTAAATTTCACATGAAATGCACGTGAATAACTCTTACAAGTTGGCAACATGTACTACCTCTGAAACATAGGTACGGGCAATGTGTAGGCTTACAGTATTGATAAGATATAACATCAGACATACATTGTCGTATAGGTAACAATGATTAAAACAAAGGATGTTTACATGCAAGTAACAACAATAGGATAAGCACAGATTATCTACAGAAAAGCTTCAATTTTGAATATATGATTCTTCAAAACAAAACATACACATTGTATATTCATTGAAGAATTTATTATCAAGCAATTGCAGCCCTTTAAGGATGTTTTTTTTTTAAATGACCGTAAGAAAGTAGGCAGTTCCCTTGTAAACCAAGACGGCTGCGCGGAAATGTATGTATCTTCCGCTGGATACTCACTTCGTGTTTTTTTAAACCATGCAAGAAAGCATATACGCATCCATTCGTTATCTTATGTTGTCATTTCATCATTTTCATGCCATTATTTCTTTCCTGTACAGTACAATCTTTAAATGTAATTTATTAAACATTTACTGAGTCAGTCACTTTGAAATAGAAATATTACTGTACCAAAATCAAAAATTAAATACATTGTAAATTTGAACAATAAAGGTTCGATGACTGAAAGTATCAATTTATATTTGTTTATGTCAATTTCAAAATTAAAGAACGGTTTCAATCATAAATTGTTCTGCAACTGCTGGAAGAAAACAGCATTCCTGTTTACAAATATACCAAATACTTTTTCACGATTAGATGAAAAGAACTTTAATTTCAAGCTTAAAAGAAGTGTGTTTCTTAGTAATATTCATGTATACAAAGTTGAAGCTTCAAACATCATTGATTCGCTTTGGTGTTTCCCTTTACGTTATTTCGAGTGAAATAAATTCGGAACTAAAGATACGAAATACGAGTTATATATAAAGGAAAATGCACTGTTACAACACAAAGTATAATACCAATCATTAACGTAATACTTGTTTGTGTTGCGAGAACGCACGCGCAATTCACACAATGTTTGTTAAACAAGTTCAATCAAACAAAAACTTGATGCGATAAAGTATAGATGCTTTCTAAAAGTAAAACGAAAATGCTACAATGTACGTTAAAAAAATGTTTTCGATCCTGTTAAATGAACGTGAGAAAAGCATTTTTCACGCGAAAAAGAATGCAAGTAATAGGTATAGCATGCCATAATGCAGGTCAACCAAGGGATATCTACTACGGGTGATATATATATATTGAGGGGATAGTATGTCATACTCACCTCTTCTACGGTTCAATGGACCTACGTTAAGCAATATTGCGTATAGGATAATCTTAATCTACATAATTAATGCTTGATATATTCGCATACTATAACTTAAACTTAAGAAAACATGGAGCCTTTTTAGTAATACACAGAAACGATGCACTTAATAAACTATAGTGTAGTAATTTGATATTTATACACTTTCGAGTGAAACCACTTCCAATACGGTTCATTAATCACCTTTGACCCCGGATGCTTTTCATTGGTCATGACTACGCAAATGACGAGTCTCTACGCGCAGCAAAAACGTTCCATGAACTGCAGTCCATGAATAGAACGCAGGCGAACATCTTTTTGAAACAAGTTATCGGCAAAGCATTCATTTAATTACAAGGACCATTCAATCAATTCTGTCACTACAGTCATTACAATAGTTTTTCGCCTTGTCAGATTGAAAAGCATTTGAAGAACAATGCTTATGCAAATTACATCATCGAACTAGAATTCAATAAGTTATTTAATGTTGAATGGTATGCACTCGTGACTAGAAGCCACTTTTCAATGCTAAAATGAAGACTAAATCTGAAATACGCTCTAGTATCGAAGCAAGGTGTGCTTTACAGATACAGCCAAAACAGATACACAGAGAGCCGAGCAACATTATATGCCGTCACATTGATAAACGTCTCCAAATAGATGAACAAATTTAAGTGTGTCCTTCGAAGGATTGTTATTAAAAAATCAAACTATATACATCACACACGTGATTCCGAACCTGATATTAGAGACAGAATGTATTGAAAGGCCCTCATGTTATGGCTGAATATATTTTTTTCTTTACTATTGATGAATAATTTGCTCGAGTAATATAAACAGGAAAACTAGCCATCACATGAGCAGTAAATCTGTAAAGTTAATATCCTAAACATGAAATGTTTAATGAAATAATGTTTTCTATTCACATTACGGTAACGTTTCTGACACCCGAAATGCAGAAATCATTTTGTATTAAGCATTACATTCTTTTTTATATTATTATATACAGCAAATGTGTGATCTGATGATTGTTATTGACCAAAGAAAGAAGTTAAAAATACATTTTCACAAATATAAAACAATATAGGGTTTGGGTATGTGACAAATTATGATCTTAGGATGAGTTACCTCCCCTTCGGCCTGGCCTCCTGCCCTGTCTGTTTTGCCCTTGAGGTCCCCTTCTGCCTCCACGTCCACCTAATACAAATGAAATAAACGGAACGTATACATAACGCGGACAAATTCTAAGAATACGGTTTGTAAGGAAAGACAAACAGAACAAAAGAAAAGGACAAAAAACGAAATCCATAACTGAAGTCTGCATTTTTAAATTTTATATCATAATTTGAATAATAGTTTTCACCCGGGGGCAACCGAACAGCATTAACATATTGCAGTGCATTTCAGTAAACAAAATATGGTTTAATCACATGCGCCCGTATTCATGAAACCGATCTCATGCTCGAACATGAATGCTTGAGCATGAGAACGGTTTCATGAATACGGGCCCAGGAATCGTTTAGGAAATAACCCTTTATGTAAAACGCGCATTGCCACTAAACTGACCTTGGCCACCATTGGGTCCCGGACCTCCTCTTCTGCGTCCTCCTTTAATGAACGAAAAAGGAGGACATGTATAACATAAGAAAATATTGTTTAGAAATCTATTTCTTTTTTTAACTGAAATGATAAGTTAACGCTGATCAAAGTTTCACCCTACGCCGTTGGATTTATTTATGTACATATAACTGAATTTAGCCTTTGAGTTCAAATAAGTTTTTAATCTTTTTGGTAAATTTCTTAGTTTGCCGTTAAATGCACTATATCAAGCCTCGTTAAGTGGAACAAACTATTTGTTTAAATACCCTATTAACACATAATGCAAAATGATATCATACTGATACAAACCGGCATTTTTTTTTTATTTAAACCCATATGGTATATTTTACATGTATTTGCAAAAACGTAGGATTATATCGTCTGGAGTAAAGTCTCGCGATTGTTAACAATAAAGCTGCATACAGTTCCTAGCTACTAAGGTTGGCCCTATTTGTTTGGAGGTTACGGAATCAAGGGATTAAGTCTCCAAAGGAGAAAATATTTGGACTATATTTAATAATAAAAAAGTCAAGATAGAAGCCGGGATATTGCAAAATTGGCGAGTTGCTTGTACAGAGTGTAAATTAAGCATTGGCGCAAACATATTATGATTACATATATTATTTCAGCTGGTCGATCGCTTGAGAAAAAATAGTATTTCATAATAGTTGATTGACAATGAACATTTACAAATTGAAACAAACAGAAAGAATACATATCAAATATTTAAAAAATAATTTACATGAACGATATAAAATAATAAACATAAAAAAATATTATTCATATTCACTGTGTAAGTAATGCAAATGTTTAACAAAAATACATATTGAAATAAGCGTAACTCGTATACATTGTGTCAATAACACGAATATTAAACAATTATTAGTATTGAAATAGTATAACTTATGTTCATTTTAATGTATTAACTCGTTAAAACAAGAGTAAAATCATAAATGCTTTCGTGATATATTTAATGAGAAATCAAAATATCTTTCTTGTATATTTATGTACAGCTGCACTGGAACAATGGCCGGTCATCAATATTTAGTATTCTACCTTATTGATATGAAAATATCAACAGATTGTCGTTTGCGGAGGTGACAATAAAATGAAAAAAGCGGCAGTAGTACTTGTCAATGTACGCTGCAGTCCATCCCAGATAAAACATCAGGAATGTTTCATTAGTAAATAAAACCATAAAAATATCACTTATTGATTTACAACAATTCAGATACTTTTTAATTAGTGACAAGAATACCAGACGTTATGATTTGTTGAATTTGAAAACGTCGTTTCATGTTTAGCTATGTTTTTGTTTTTACACAACGTGTGGCAATGTTGTCTGAATGAACAGTTTCTTAAATTATATGCAAATAGTGTTCATCAATCAATTAACATTACATGTATATGTAATATATGCACATTTAAAGATATATACACGATTATATTTCATTTTATCGACAGAATTCAAAGAAAAGAATGTTGTAGTGTTCTATATCAATTGATTCATTCAGTAGATTCACATATCATTCCATTGCATTATGAAGCTTAATGTGACGCATGCGCTCTTACCATTTTGACCTCCGCCATTTCTCATTGGGCCACCACGTCTCATCCCGCGGCGCATTTGTCCTGTAAGGATATAACAAGAAAATTGAGTTAGTATGAGTCAGCATAATGCAGAAATATATTATCATTTCCAATATTTAAATTGCAATGTTTCGTAGCATTTTACTTCTTACAAAAACTCTCTATAAACATATATAACCAGATTTTGAATACAATTAAATAATGCAGAAATTATTACTTGAAATAAAAAAATGTTTACTGATTTATCTGAATTTTACGACAATGGAAATTCACACATATACTGTTCCATACGTTGCTTTCAATTTGCACAAAAAGAACAAACAGTCTTTGGGTTAAACAAAGTGCTAGTAATATGTTTTACCGTTAAGTAACTATATGCAACATTTACTCTGTCTCATTCACAAGAGAAAAGGTCGGCCATGCGTACTTGCTGCCACTTGTTAGAACATGGTTAACATCAGCAAAATATCAGACATTAGTAGTATAATCATGAATTAATGCTGAAAATAATTTTCCACGAGAAAGGTGTTACATATAGTTACATGTATTAAATACTTGATAATGATGTACCTTAGATTGTTCAACAGTGTTAACTAGTTGTGGTTCTCTTTCCTTTTCTATTTAAGTTGCAACATCAGGAAAAATCAGAGGAGCTGACAGTTTTGAGCGAATATCAGCATTTTTGTCAATATCAAAAAGTAGACCAATTATATATTTAACTGACAGTAATTAATAGAAACCAACCAATTTCATTTTAGAACGGTCCAGTTCCGATATGGTCCACTCCAGGACTACCTCTACTATATTATTGCAAATATTTAATGACTCGGTAAGTTATTATCAGAATTATTAGATGATACTTGATAAATTGATTGGCAATATATTATTGGTTAAAATCTACTTTATAATACATATCATTTGAATTAAACAACTACATGAATATATTTTAGTTAATAAGTCCGGCATTTCATTGACAAACCCTCTCACATTAAAGAATTAAAATGTCATTTTAAGGTTTACGTATTTGCTATATCACACTGTGTTATGATGTTATATATTAAGTACATTTTACTTTCATTAGTAGATTGAATAATGCCATCGTCGCATGTAAGCCGTGACAATTGGCAACCTAATATATTCTAGTGACATATGTTGTGTAGACGGGATACACTTCTGGATTCCGGTCACCCTTGTGTTGTTGTGACATGGCGCCATTTCGGATCCAAGTCACCTATGTGTCGATGTGTAATGGCAACATTCTAGATTCAGGATTTTGTGACAGTACACTCTACAGGAGTTTAGCCACGCCAGTTTTGTGATGACAGGGACACACTACCGTTTATCAAGCATACCTGTATCGTGGTGCCCGGGTCTTACCCAATCAGTTTAAAAGTGGTACGTTCGATTTATGAATCAAAATATTAAATAACCAAAAGCGGAAATACGCACCTTGATGAACGGAAGCAGGCCAAAATGGCGGGGTAGAAATGTTAATTTAAAGTATTTGAGAAAAGTTGAATTATTTGACGTACAAAGTACCCCTGACATCACTTCGTTAACAGGTGGTAACTGTAAAATTCCATGCATTTTTAATTATTTAGGTTACCATGGAAAATAAGTATGTGTTATACATGAAGTAAACGAGCATCACACATCAGTGTTGTAAACACATGCTAAAATACTAACTGTCGATACAAGGAGTTCTTTGATATGAAACAACACATTAATGAAAATTAACGTTCACGACAACCACAACGACAGGACACACCACAAAAACCAGGCATGTTAAACTTCCATAACAAGTAAGCATTTGCTTTCCAGAAAAGCATCAACTACCGGCAATAAGTCGTCTGTGGTCAACCCAATAAGTCGTCTGTGGTCAACCCAATAAGTCGTCTGTGGTCATCACAATAAGTCGTCTGTGGTCAACACAAAAAGTCGTATGTGGTTAACACAATAAGTCGTATGTGGTCAACACAATAAGATATGTATACATTTCGTGTCGCCAAATGACCTAAAACATAACGTATAGGACTTTGATTATGACTATCACTGACTTGATGTTACTAGCAATCAATCAAGTATGTCGCCCGGAAGATGTCTGCACCATGAATCGACATTTCAGATTGAAACATCTTCGTTACTACACACAAGAACAAAATGTTAAACAACGGCTAGATGTACCATATCTTATCGCATACCTATGAAATATTACAATAGTAATACAACAATTTTCTGTTGATGTTTTCTGTCTGTTTGTATCACACATGTGTGATACAAGATGTTGTATCACCATACTAGCCGAAACTACTTTTTAGGGGAATTCCCTTGTCATGGCGAACTGAAAAGTTCCCGGTATTTGCAAATAATATCAAAGTTTATAAAATCTTTGTATCTATCTCTACCAAATACGGAAGGAATTTGATAAAAGCAAGACCACACTTGTGTACCATATATGGAATAAACATCGTCCGTACGCAAACACCTTATAATTAATATCAATGATATAATCCACACAAGTAATGGGTTGTTCCTAACATCACGGATTCTGGTGCTGGTACAATTGTGTCCGGATATTAACTCACTTATTACATAATTAGCTAATGTATTAACTATGATTTTTAGATACAATTATATATATATATATAAATGTGAAATTGTTAACAATTACATGCTATGCTTTTATTTTTTACACATTGTCGTTAATTCATTAGGTGTGACTGTCGATGTTAGAATGTTATAGTAAGTGTATAACAAAACGTGTTTAAACTAAGTATGAAATACAAAGAAATGAATGTTATTTATTATTACTGCAAAAACCTACGTAGAAGACGCCGGCCCTCGCGACCCAGTTCTCCGCTCATTAGACGACCCTCGCCTGAAGCTGGTATGTCAAACATTGAACACGGTATAAGATAAATATTGACTGACATATTCTATGATTAATATTATTAGATAGTAAAGATTTATAATTTAAACCATATTCAGCCATTCTTTTAAAGATACATTTAATGAATCAGCAATCATTTTGACCCTTTGACTCTAGAATACAGGGAGACGGTTAAAATCCGTGCAGTTCTGTCAGCTCAATCAGTGATGTGTCTTCAATTACATTAACTAAGAAACGTTTAAATTACGTCAGTTAGGAAATAACAAAATAAAACCCCTGATACATCCGTACCTACTTTTTCCGCCACGTTCATCTGTGCCATCTGACCCAGAATATCCATAGCTATGGTAAATATCAAATACACTCTTTTACATATCCATGTCATCTGTAATAATTGAATAAGTGTTGCCGTATTTTTTTTTATAAATAATACTTGTCTTTTGAAAGCGTTGATAATATTTTGGGTTATATGTTATACCCCTATCTCCCAAAAAAATATAAATAAATAAAAATTAAATTAAAAAAAAATCAGATTTCAAGAAAATAATTAACCATTATAACATTTAACACAAGACGTGCATTTTGCCTTAATAAGAACGATAATGATTTTACTGTAATTATAATATTGCATGTACATATTCTATTAAATCCTGTTAATACAAAGAGCAATATTTGAATGAGATTGTTGATACATTTCATATTTTCAATTCCTTGTAACAATGATGATAATATATTCATTGATTGGTTTAAATTTTAGTATATATGAATATACAAAAGATTTACTAGGCACTAAGTTCAGCACAGCAAATAGCTGAAACACTTGAAAACGGACAAGATTGATTTATACGTTATTCTAATAGATAGTAATTGAATTATTTTTTTTGAAGGTCTCATTTAAGTTCCCATTCGTATTTAACATGTTTAAAAAATATCTGCATTTGACCGGTTGACCGGCGACATTATCGTATATGACTAGCGCACCCACAGAGGAATGACTGAAGCATTCTTAAACTGCCTTTTTATATTTCTAACTGATTTTATTTTCTGTATATTTTGTGTTTTCATTTTTGGTTGGGGATGTTTTTAGTGTTTTAATTTTAATACATTTTCAGTCTTTTCTTTCTTTGGTATATTTCCTGTTTTTCTCTTTCTTTTTGTATATTCTACTCGACCTGATGATTGCACACAACATTTGACAACCTCCGTGCGTATGATACAATTTTAGGATAAGGAAGAAATAACACCAAAATCAGTCCGAAGTCATGAAATATATGTCCTAAAAGAACTGAAAGTTAAAATCCATTGGTCCATTATCAACAATCAATAAGAGAATTTCCGAGTTCATTTTGTTCAATCTTACCATACATACTTTTTATTTAACTTGATTCATTGGCATTAATATTAAAGTATAGATAAATGTTTGCTCCCACTGCCATAACTGCGTGAATTAAATATAAACTAAGTTAACCATTACATCATATTTAGCCAAATATAGGTTTGAAATAAAATAAATTTAAATAAATTGAAGTCAATTTGTGTCGACTTGTATACACGCGTTTATTCCGGGAATTTTAGTTTTTCTTATTGAAAGCGAATGCACACTGTCCCATTATCTTTGGTCATCGTTACAATTACGACTCCAGTCACTTTCATCCCCTCAATAAACGTTCTAGTCGTTCACAATGTCGTGAGTGTGAAAACAACATATATAGCTATTTGTGATCTTGAATAAAGAAATTAACTATTGTTGAGTAAAACATTACTATAAACATTCTGATTATGCGCTATTTCTGTTGAAAATATGCTTAATCTTTATTCAAAGTTTATACAAAATATTACTTATGTTCTTCCGCCATGTACCCCTTTCTTAACTCCAAAGCAAAGTATTCAGTATTATTATAATCGAGCGAAATGCCAAGCAACAGAGACATTATTTGTCCAAATTTTTGACTTAAAAGAATGTCAATCCAGCGCGAAAGCGCTATAAGGTGATTGTCGTCATAGAGGTAAGCGTATATCTATATCATCATACTACTGGTACTTCAACAACAATGGCATGACTGTGAAAATGAATGAATAAAAGAAGATTACGACAGCTCCGAATACTTCCGCGTCTTAACTCTGAGCGGAGAGAATTTGCTTTAAGAACTTCAAAAGGAGCACAAAGAATTAGGATTATTTACATGTACCTAGAACAGCTTCGAGTGCTTTCTATTCTTTGAAGCCCGTTTTGGAAACATACTTTCATGAAGAAATTCACTTTAAGCAAGACAATCTTTGGTCCCTTGTCATAATTATATATTTGATATTTTAGTTCGAATTGTATGCGGTTGTGTTTGCATTCACCTTGAGATTTACAAATACGTGGACTTTCAAAGTAGTCACTATGCTTAACAAGGATTGCAGCAGCAGTAATTGATGCAAAGCTTGGCATGTCAATTTACATTTAGGAGTTTAAAGCTCGGAAGCTGTTTGTATTGAAATAGCGTGCTGTCAATTAAGCAGCAGTGTTTATTGGAATAAAACTGACCTTTTCCTCTTTGTCTACCTATCAAAAATGAACAAACGTGAAGGCTAATCCAGCGAAGCAGTATCAAGAACAAACTGTTTTAAAACCAAATCTAACAAAGCACTTATTCAGTAGCTCCACAGGGTACTGTATTTAGACGGCTTCTATTGAGCAAATAAAACAGTATATGACTTATTGAATAGTATTGTTGGAAACTTGTTATAGCTATTGTTAAATCAGCGTTTTACAACTCAGCTTTGATACAATATAAAAGCAGAAGGTGAATATGTAACAGTATTTCATTTGTACGTATACGACACAAATGTAATTAAACAAAACATTGAAGTCTTACCTCCCATACCGCCGCCCATACCACCGCCCATACCGCCGCCAACTCCACCGCCTCCACCGCCCATTATGGAATCTAAAAATTGAAAATGAAAAATAATTAAGTGACCGTAACAAAAAAAAGTACAGAAACCTGAGTATCATAGACACATTACATGCAATAGCATCAACATATTTATTACAAGTAATTGCCGTTTTTCATCATCACTTTTAATGCAAATTATGTCATATATCCTACATATAAACCTCTGATGTCGATATATAAATCATTAAGTAAAAGCAACTCTAAATTTGCCAGAAATAGGTGTTGTCGAAAGACGAGAATAATTAGAACATTTTTGTCAAAATGAATAACTGAGTGTGCCTTGTACGAGACGAATAAAACCAAGTGAACGGATAACAAAAGGAAACAACACTTTATACTTTTATAGTATCGAGTATTTAGCACCTAAGTGTTACTTGAATGTTACTAGACACAGTTAGAACTATATATTATTTTCAATTTTCTTACCAATCATCGACTGCATATCATTTCCACCGCCTCCTTGGCCATTATTAGCTGCAAAACAGTAACACGCACGGTTACAGTGAAGGTTATTAGGTTATAACAGTTAAAAAGCAACGATACCATGACATAAACAAAGAAAAATATATACAGGTATGTAACAAAGGAGAGGCAAACAACTATAAATGTTACAAAGAACAAACCTTATATTACAACTATAGCATATTACTACAAAGAACAAACCTTATATTACAAATATAGCATATTACTACAAAAGACAAACCTTATATTACAACTATAGCATATTAATACAAAAGACAAACCTTATATTACAACTATAGCATATTACTACAAAGAAGAAACCTTATATATCACAATATCATTCAACAACTTTCGATTCCAGTGGTGCGCAATAAGTATCTTATACTTTTTGTCGGTACGACTTTTTTTGCTTAACAGCTGCAACGTTTTGTTGTCTCATTAAATGGAATTTGTAAAGAGAAAAACACGATGGTTTTTTTAGGAGGCACTGTAATCTAGTGGTAGGACGCCGGACTCAATTAACGGCACGGCACTGTGTTGTATCTTTGAGCAAGATAGTTCACTCCGCTTGTTCCAATCTACATATCTGTAACTGAGTACGTGGTTGGGCAGTGCTAGAATTGCTGAATGCTAGTTGTGAGCGCCAAAGTGGCAGCACCGGCTGTATGCTCCCCAGGGAGTTGAGAAAGATATTGGCTGGTTACAAAGGCCCTATAACCACGGATAATAATTTGTGAACCGCTTTGAAACGACCTACGAACTAGGTTGTAATGAAGCGGTATATATGATCCTCGAATTAATATTACTATTATTATTATTATTTTAGTTTTTACCCATCAGCTTGGTCATCATCTGGTTGAACTGTTCCTGCTGTGTGAGAGGAGCTGCCGTCGTGGTAGTGGTGGGCGCAGGCTGCTGTCCTCCATCTGATATAAACAAACCAACAGTTATTCAACGGTCAAAAAGTCATCCTAAGTAAACATTTACAACAGCACATGAACGTTCCGTCCGTTTATGAGTTATCTGTGCTAAAAAATTGTCTCTAAAATAAGAAAATATGTCTACTGTGTTCTGCAAAATATGTAGAAATACAGAAAAATGGGTAGAACGCTATGAAACACTGATAAGCCTTATTAATGAACCCCTTTTAAAGCGACAACAGACAATTTACCGTATCACGTAAACAGCGTCAGTATAAATTCAAGCTTTACAGATTAGACCAGCTCCATGAATGACAGTCCATTAATACAACCCAAAGTAGACAAACAAAACTGAATGGATACCAAAGCACTGAAAAAGACATCAATGTTTCTTAGAAATTCTGAGGGATACTATTTTCCTCTATCAAATGTGAACATAATAATGACGTCCGTACATAAAGAATGTTGCATACAGAGTTTCATATCTTGATACGACGAAATACATTCTTACTTAACATTCCGCTGAGTTGTTGCCGCTGCTGTGGACTGAGGCCGCCTGTTGACAAAGGAAAAAGAGAATACTTTTAACAAGAAAATATATTGTCAATAAAATCGCGCTGAAATTAGATTTTTTCGTAAGAACAAAGAAGGACCGTGTAGCTTTCGCGTTTTACACCTATTCTAGATAGAGAACTCGAAATTGTTTGGTATCATCTTCAATGGTATCCAAACTACTTCAGAAGCAAAGACGCACGCAAGTCTTAGACGAAAGCTGCCAACAGTTTATTAAAATAGGAAATGTTTCTTTATTACAATAATTTCTGTTCAACATCCTGAATTTGTTAACATTGTGTAAATGTAATTCTACGCATCTTTTCGAAGAAAATAATTGTATGTAATGTTATCGATGCATTATGAAATACAATGTTTAGAATAGTACCAATATTATATTAAAATCTACCAGAACTGTTTGATATAAGTCGAAATATAGATTAGAATGAATGCGATACTAATGTTACCACCTACACTTAAACGCCGAACTATTTGTTTGTTTGAGCATTCTGACATATGAACAAACACATTTTCTATTAAGTATTACCAATGTAATGACATTGGTACCATTGCACATGTTAAGTAATAAAAATCAATATTATGTGCATTATCGTAACACTAAAATAATATCGTCCCTTTGAAAGTCAATACTAATATAGTATCATAACTATATGCTCACTTTTACTTATATTACATTAACTTAAGCAACATGGAACCGGAGAAGGACATCCTAGCTACAGAAAGAGGCGCCGAGACGGGATTTGTTGCCCGTCTCGGGATGGGTCATTCATAGATTACCAATTGTTATTTAGTGATATGTGAAAACCAGCCTCAATCAATAACGCGTCAATAACCATTTACAGCCAAACACTCGTTATTAGATGGCGCCGACCTTCAGGCAAATTTTCTATAATAACGTTATTTGTCTTAAATATCTTTACTAAAAATAACTCTCTCTTCAATCTAAAACTTTCTGAAAGCTGTTAGTCTTTTTTATAAAATGTTAGTCACACTAGCCACTTTCAATATTCAAGTTTATGTTTGTCTTTTATCTTTACGTTTGTGTGATGTTTTTATTTCACATTTGTTTTTGTCGACCGTGTGTTGGCCATAATGACCATTCCTGTGTTGATCGGCCGTTCAACATGTTATAATAATGATAACATACGTAGGAACGCCTGGAATCCGCCTCCAGACTGTTGTGGGGGTGTGATCGGTGGACTTGTTGGCGGCTGCGCGGACATTTGAGCGTTGTTACCAAAAGACGAAAGTGATCCAGCTGTGAGACAGACACAGGAATACGATATAAGCAGAAGTAGAAGTAGGAAAATGTGGAAAAACACATACGGCAGCGTCAATATACAAAACAAAAACATACAAGTATAAAATGTACCATATCGCCGGCAAAAAGTAAACAATAAACAGAATATTATATAAATGCATTAGGTCTGACGAAAATAAAGTTTAACCTGAAATAGAGAAAATTATCAAATCATCGATGCCTATTTTAGTCCACTCCTCCGATAGCGGAACAGACATAACTTACAGTCATTCTCATTATTGAGTTTATTTTCCAATGTTGCTTTGGGGTTTTTTTAATTCTTAAATATTTAAAAGTTTCCTTTTCACCTTTAAGAAAACACTTTTGTACTTCCGAGTCCTGACATCTACAAAAGTAGTGTTATAAACTACAGGTGACTATATTATGTTACCTAATGAGATAATTGTATTTGAAATTAGCACAAGGTAAGTGAGCAACAACCAATGCTTTAACATTGTAATGTCACAATGTCACAACGTATAACACACTGGTATATTGGTATGCATTGTTTACCGTTATGTAGTTTATTTTCAACAGTAATAGTTGTCGTAATCTACGGTATTGTGCTTTTTCGTCGTTTACGCCTGAACCTTCAATACGTAGCTGGTATTGTGACGTCGCAATCCTGACCGTAGATATATCCCTACCATACTATCTTCCATCAGGAAAGCATTTTCAATGAATCAGATGTTATTATTTAAAAGTATATAAGCGAGGCCAACAGTTTACCAAGCGTGCCTGCAAAATTTAGTAGGTCCCTGGAATTAGTGGAAAAGCAGCAAATGTCACAAAATGTATTCACATACAGTATGAGACCTGGGTCACAACATTGGAAATTATCAAAGCAAAGCAATGAAAATAAAGGAAAAGAAACAGAACGTTGCCGAGTTTGTATATATATTTTTTTAAATCGAAATCATATAACATTGTTTTGATGGGCCGTTCATTTTCACTATTCAGCCGCTTGATATGCACACAAAATATGTGTAGTGTATCATTACACTTGAGTCTAGTATAAGTGAATGTTTTCTATGCAAAATATCGATACGGAAGCAACACATTTTAATCGAGGTCAAGTGAATGTTTTTCTATCTTTCCCCGTATCCTGCGCGGGAGCATAGAACTGAAAGGCTAATGAACGTATTTTGTTAATTTCCCCCATATCTATGTCTAATCATTGTCAATAATAGATTTGCTATACCAGTTCTTTTAAAACTAACGTTTGGTGGTTTCGTTGTGATTTACAGAATGTTTAGTTTTTACAGAATTAAAAAAACAATAGACCCTTCAATATGTTATTGTGTAGGAAAAATAAAAAAAAATGCTAATATTTGGTCCAAAATCCCATATGCTGAACACATACATATTAACGAGTCGTTCTATAAGCGCATTTCATTCGTAACCGTTATGTAATACAAGCAAAACATATTTGTGATTGTTGCTATAGTTTCACACAATTGTTTGTTGTTTTTGCTTTATAAGAGAAGCATACATAATTGTTATCGCTTCTGCAATATATGTGATAAATGTAGGCAGTTATTGTAGGGGAACTTGCTAGTCATATATTTGCTATATAAGTGTTTATATCTATCGTTATATCATATACTTCAATTACATTAAATTTCTATTATTTCTGTAACATATATACGCAAGTCCTAATACCGCTGTTATATATAAAACACAGACGTTATCAAAAAGCAAAGCACAGCGAGATAAAAAAAAAATGCTAGGAGCGTACAATCCCTCTGTATTCCGTAAGGAGAAGACTTACCTAGAGGAAACTTATTTATAAGTGTCTTCAGTTTTTCCATTACACTCGTATCAGTGCCTAATGATTATACATCGTAATATGTAAGTTTCCATCCATAATCTATACCGATATTAAACCATACTGCAAGGATATCACCGGGCATTTCGAGTCCCTGAGGTTGATTTCGCTCTCAGATGTATGTTTTTTATTACGGGTTATCTTTCCTTATATGCTTTATAATTTGAATTAATGTAAAAATGAATAAATAGAATAAATGACTAAAATGAAAACTTAAGACTTATTTGAATAACACTTCTCTTCGTATCACAAAATGATTGAAGTAACAGCATATCAACAGATTTTGTTCTCAAGTAACATAAAATAAAAGAGGAATGAAAATGAAATAAATATATTAAAACAATATCGTGATTCCTAATATAAATATAAAGTAAAGATTACTTACTTCGATCCTGTATCTGTACAACTTGATCTTGGTTTGGTTGTTGTGGTGCAGCTACTATTAGGATAAATTAAAATAGATATAAAGTCATAACCCTATGATCAATAATACAATGGCAGGGTTATATTTTTCTCCTTTAATACACTGATTCATGATCTACCGGATTTATATTTGATATGTTAATAAGACATATGAACTACAGAACATAAACTGTCGTTTACTCATACGATACATAGAGAATAATACATGCCTTTTTCCATATCACACCCAGTATCAACCCTGGACCAATATCAGCCCTCGGGCCTTCGGCCCTTTTGCTGATATTGCAGTCTCGGATTGATACTGGGTGTGATATGGAAAAAGGCATGGTTTATTCTGTTTATTACATACTTACTAATAAAAGCTACTACTTTATAATCTATTTTTCTTTTGAAATATTGAAAAACGAAAAAAAAAAAAGTGTGATCCGGGTTTTGCGCGCTGATACGGGTTTTGCGGGCTGATACGGCTTTTGGGGTGTGATACGGCGAGGGCTGATATGGGTAAGAGCAATTGTGTCGTATCGCATATACAAAAAACCCGTATTTATTAGTAAGTATGAAATAAAATTAAATACAGTAGATGTTGTTCAAAAATAAAAGCAAGATACGATATTTTAAGAGAAAAAGGATTAACGTATGGTAAGATATCAAGAACATCGAAAATGCAATATAATCCGTGAATTTCAATACATTTTACCTCTTATTTGAAGCTATACTCATAGTTTGTTCAATGTTACTCCTGTTTAGGCCGACCTAATTTATTAAAGTATAATACAACATAAAGAAGGCAGTCCTGAATTTGCAGTTGGACATGATAGCTGTGTTCATGGAATGTAGAGATAATGAACGAATCGCATTAAACGACAATGCTGAAATAGGCATGAAGTATATTTCTCGTTATTGCGTTATCAGAAGCATGCAAACGAAACTAATACGATGCAGCAAAGTCTAAACGCACATTTACAGTGTGAAGTAATGCAAAACAATAACAAGAAATGGAACAATATATTTGGTTTCAATGAGAATAAAAAACGAGATAACTGCATAACACTACGCAACTGCGACGAATATTATTTGATATATTTCTATTAAGTATAGAAGAAAGACTAAATGCCAAAATATCGCCTAAACAATGTATATTATCTCAGAAATTTCATCTTAGAAGTGAAATGTCTACAACTAACAAATACAATAAACAAAATAAAAAATAACACTCTGCGTGGAAATGCTAGCCACAAACACCTAATATGATTAAACAGTTTCTAGTCAGTTATATGCAATTCACACAAATACAAAAATGATAACCATAAAATGTATTCCTTCAAAAAAACATGTTAATACACTTTTATTTCACTGTACAAACACGTCCATAATCATCATAACATGGCACAATCATATACAACACAGTCTATATACATACGCAGTTTCAGTGAGTTCGCAGATTCAGCTCGCGCGGAAGCGCCATTACTCTTTGTCTGCAAAGAGGTTTGCGTACTTGATCGCAAACCAAGTTTAGTTAGCAATGAGGAGAAAAGTTTATGTTGTGCTCTAAGAGATGTTGAAGTTTGAAGGTGACCGCCATTTTGCAAAATTGCTTCTGTTATGAAATTTCGGATATTAATAAGACAATAGACGCGTTGTCTTCTGGGTGATATGCTATGTGAAATATATCAATATTAGGCGCGATTCTATTTTCTATCATGTGATTATATGTAATGAGTAGGTGTGTTTACGTTTCCGTTGAAACTAAAAGCTAAAAGCTTTCTCAATTCCCTTTTTTTTAAATCTTCGTTATACAAAATTGAATAGCATTCCTGTTGTATTATTTTTTATTGATGTTTGAAATGTATATGAATTATGAACACGTTTGTAAGTTCCCTTTGTTAAGTGTGTTAAAAAGCGAATGACGCAGCTATCGTTATCATGTTTCAGTGAAATGCAATTTATTTTAAAAACTTAGGTGTTGCGGAATAGCGATGCGTCGAGTTATTTTAAGCCACTTCATCTTGCTTTGTATTGTATGTTTTTTTTTCTGCTTTTGTTTTTGCTTGTTTTTGTTTTCCATTCCCTAACATTTATAACGGCATTCCCTTCATTTGATGAAAAAGCAACATCATACCAAAACAACCAATGTCTTGCCCTTGCTTCTCGAAAAACGAACATTAAAGGAATAAACGTCTCTTCAAAAATTGCTTTTTGTCATTATTTTAAACAGGTCATAATTGCATGTATGTGAAAGACTTATGTACATCAATTAAAGGATTGTTAAGAATTACATCCTACTAAAATCTGAATTTCAGGTTAAGAAAAAATTTGGTCAATACCGATTATTGTTTCACAAGATTATTTATGCTTATTGTAATTGATACGACTTATAAATACTTTGTGGAAGAACATTTAAGTGAAGGAAGGCTGAACTCCGAGGCATAATGGTCAGACAACCTTCCAATCCAACTTCTCTATGTCAACAATGACAGCAAAATTGTCGCAACACATCGCATACATAGGTTAAAATAGGTTGTTCTTTGAGTTATATTGGTAAAGCTAAACATGCGTGCATTTTAAAGCCATATATATATGTCAGCCTCGTTGATGGTTAACAATCATAGATAAGACAGAGAAAAATAATAGAATTATCAATTTTGTTATACGATAGAAAATATACTTTTTCAGGAAATAGTAAGAATTCGAATGTTAAATTTTGATCGAAATTTTGATTTTACTTGAAATATGTTAAATTTATAACAGTATTGACGTTATTGTATAGTTATTTACAAAATGAGTTTATTTCTAATACTACACCACAACCACTGTGTGAACGACATACAAATGGCTTTAATCTTTTTTCTAATTTTAAATCCGAATCAGAACATTCTGATTATTCCATTTAATTCCGGACGACGTCTTAGTAAAACGTACCATTACGTTGAAGTTGAGACAGAGGTGTGAACGGCAGGCTTTGTGGGGGTTTAGCCTGGGTCTTCTCAGAGTTTAAAATGGTGTTTACACCAGATCTCCCAGCGGCGCTAAACGCCGGGACTTTCGCATTGGTCCTTCTAACTGTTGCTCCCAGTGAAAGCTCAGCAAGGGTTGGAGCGTTATAACTCGGCATTTGCGTCGGTTCAGCGAAGATAGAGGATGGCATTTTTTGATTATTTGCCATGCCTTGTAACTGCTGGAAGAGACTTCCAGAACCTTGCATGATTGCATCCATTGCAAAGTCCAATGGCGGAGCTGACGTCACTGTGGGTTTAGTGATTGGAGTGGTTGTAGTAGTTGTTGTTGTTGTTGTTATTGTTGTTGTTGGAAATGTTGTCGTTGTAGTTGGGGCCTGGGTTGTCGTTGAAGTTGGGGCCTGGGTTGTCGTTGTAGTTGGGGCCTGGGTTGTCGTTGTAGTTGGGGCCTGGGTTGTCGTTGTAGTTGTGGTTGGTGTTTCGTTGGTAGTGGTCGGTGCTTCGGAGATAGTGGTCGGGGCTTCGGTTGTAGTGGTCGGTGCTTCGGTTGTAGTGGTCGGTCGTTTTGTTGTAACTATAAAAGGCTTTGCCGTAACAGTAATATCTACAGGGTTTGTAACCGCTGGTCGCTGTTTAGACTGAAGCGTCACTTTACTTGACTGAAATACATGTGATGAAGACGTGGGTCGCTGAGGTTCGATCCTTGTCGACGCGGAAGAATTCGGTGCAATAGACGTAGTCCTGGCTACTGTCATGATTTTGTTCATGATTCCTCGTTCAAAAAACGTTGTAAGCGCAGTAAGCATATCCTTTATCTGGCGTAGCATTTCTTGTTGAACTTTGAGATTATTGGCTGCCATAGTTTGTCTTTTCTGTAGCTCATCCATCGCATTTCTCTGCTCTTGTAGTCGTATTTGGTCTATTGTTGTGGAGAAAGAAGGAGCGTTACTTACACCACCTGCAGAGCCAGTATTATTAGCGGGTACATACCAGCTCTCAGGAATGACAGAAGACGTCGGTGAGGCGACGGTGGTAATAATCGTACTGATTTCGGATCTTCTGGTAGTAGTAAGCTTCGTTGACGCACTAGCAGGAACACGAGGTTCGGGACTTGTTGCAGCTTGAAACAGTGTGTTCACCCGAGGACTTACTGTAACTCTTTTCATCGTCGATCCCGAAATGTTTGACGTTAAAGTGACAGGGATCCCTTGCATACTCTTTGTAACTACTGGCATTTTTGTCACATCGAAAGAACTGGCTTTATGTTGTGTAGTCATATGCTTCTCTCCAAGTGTGGGAGGAGAGGCTTTGGTTGGTGAAGGCTGTGTAGAATTGACAACGCTTCTTGTTGTAGTAGATCGGGTAGGGTCAACCGTCACCGCAGCGGGCTGACTTGTTGGATCAAATGTTTGAGTAAAGGCATTACCTATTGGGTATGCGGTCGGGTTGGCAATGAGATGATCGAAGAAACTAGCAGTAGGTCTGTTTAATATAGAAGAAAACAAATTTGAATTATCTGCTATGGGTGGCATAGTTCCACTAGGATCAAAGAGTGAACCGAATGGTGTCTCTCTTGTTGGTGGTGATCCTATCGTTGATGTTTGCCGGGACTGGAAGATGTTCAGCCAGTCGTTTTGGGCAGCCCCTAGATTAATTGGGGTACCCTCTGGGTGATCAAGAACTGGAGCAAGGGTCGGCCATGCGCTACTCAGGGTCGAGGGCGGCCACTGAGGGGACAGGGTGGGCGTTTGACTTGTCATAACGTTGGTTGTCTTACGTGCCGAAACATCATCTGGAATAACATAACCGTATAACAATAATAAACATTATTTCTTTACAACAATTGCAATTTTGAAACCAGTTATTGCAACTTATGTTGGCACGGATGCTAGCAAGTGGGACATTTTAAAGGGAAGGAAGCTGGAGTACCCCTAAAAAGACACATCTGGTCGAGCAGATTAACGGATAACTGTGCAAGTCCAATCGTCGAATCGAACCCCGGTACCCTTGGTGAAAGGCGATAGCGTTTTCTGCTGCGCCTTTCATAACCGTAAAAGAATGCTGTGATTTGTAGTGAGAATAAAAAAGATGCAGTCCTGAAGTTTCAATTCGAAAGGACAAAGCCGAATTCAAAGCCGTTATAACAAAGTCAGCTTCAGCAGCCGACAATACGCGAAAATAGAACACCAGGAGTCTCCGCAATTTATTTAAGGTCGCTTTATGCCAAGTTAGGTGTTTCTATATTTCTATAAGTGTTACCGATCAAAATTCGCGACGTTAAACTCCATATTTATTTACACCGTGTGTATTTATTTAAATGTCGCTATAACAGTAAGTTCATACCAAAGGAAAGCTGCACGAATAGACCTTTGAAACTACAAGGAATGTAGGACCATGCGTTTTAGAACGGTAAGCGTTTATTTTGCTTTATCGAATGATGCCGTGCAAAACTAAGTAAAATGCAAGTGATGTCACCTGATCAACTAAAGCAACAGAGGAATCTAAACAACAAAGAATATATAACATGTGCAAATGGAAACTTAGTGAACGGCATCTGACTTGCCCGAATTCGTCATCAACGTGTATTTCTCAATATTCTGTGAAAGTTGGTCGATAGCAGTGTACAGAATGTTTTACAACTTGTATTTTTACAGTTCTTAAATTTCGTTTATACGAAAACACAAAAAAGATGTATGAAGACAATAAGAGATATGCTAATATATAGCCACAGTACATGTTACATAAAACCTCAGTGAGCATCAGCTTACTTGCTGCCAGAGCCAGAGCGTTGTCATTCTGAGCATCGTTGGCTGATGTGGAGCTCGATTTCGAATCTGAAATGGTTATATAATGTTAAGATACATAAAACTCGTCTGGTAAATGATGTATGTGTTGATGTATTATATTTATAAAAACATATTTTTTCCTTTAATTAAAAAATGTAAAGCAGAAAAAAACTATATAATTTTGATGTTAAAACAAGTAACTTGGTATAATATTACAATTAGTATCTACTGAAGGAAGACATATTAAATGATAAGTGTGTATTACTATGCATCTAAGCTTGTCTGGTTAAATATAAAAAAAAGCGTTATAAGGCAAAAATACTTACATCCATGTTACAACCCAGAAGAGTTAGGGAAAGCAGCATGTTAGTGTCAAAATGTTAGAAGAAATAATCGTTAAATCTTCAATTTTCCGTCTCGATATTTCATTTTTTTCTCGCGAATACACGATTTCACGTTGTCGGATCTACCTAATACGGTCGATGAAGTATATGTTTAGACTGGAAAAGATAGGGGTATATTTGTTTTTTCTTCATTAAAATTAGATATTGTTTTTCAGAAAATAAATTCGAATATAAGTAAAAAGATATGCATCTCCCATAAAGATGTAATCTAGCAATATTTTAAGTATCAATGTCAATACCTCGAGTATATTCTTTGACACCAGCAAACAATTGAGCTGTGTATCACAGACAATCACTGCATACATTTGCAGTCACATTTTAAAACAATATTTAAATATTTTTATAAATATAATAATTAATGAAATGAAACAATGCAATATATAGACGTGACGTCATGACGATTGTTCGTTAGCATAATTGTATTGAAGTTGACATCATTTTCCAATTTATGAATTTGTACAATTCTGTAACTTACAAAAAATAATGTTTGTCTCCATTCTAAATAAGTACTAAAACTTTGTAGAAATAATCAAAAGACTTTTATGCGTATAAATGTAGAAACATTTTGAAACATTATTTCAACGGAAGGTTTTACTGAGTACTCTACGATTGAACGGCGATTTTTTTATATTTGGTTACGTTTGTAGTATTTGTTTTTATTATATGTTTTGTTTGGTATTTAAGTCGCTGTGTGGACATTTTATGATCTATGTCCCTTTCGTTTGCTTACAGACAAAGGTATCATTTATTTGTTGGCCGTTTTGTCAGTGTATGATTTTCATTACATTGTGTTATATAAACTGGTAGCGAAGCCGACCATTGAACACGTAGCAATCTCACTACACAATATTTCACCACTGCAAATTCAGACTGCCTTTTTAAAATGTATTAATACTAAACGAGAAATTTGTGACGTTATCAAAGTCACATGTGTTTATAGGACGCACCAATTAAGGCGGCGCCTTGCGATCGCAGTTGTTCCATCAGTGTTTGCGGTACAGATAATGAGGAATGTACCATGGCTAAAGGCTCCGGAGCTGTAACGAAGTAAAAGTTATACATGATAGTTAATAAGAAAAAACTCATATGAACAAAATAAGGATACAACATTTCTTTATCCCAATAAATATTAACTAGACATACGAGGAAATGAACCATACATTTGGAAATTTTGTTTGTGGATGCAAAAAACTCGAATAAGGTAAATCCTTGATTGCATCATATGGTCAGTTCGTCAATAAGGATCCATCACTGTTACGTGAGGTAAAAGAATGAAATATGTATCTGTCATTTGTCCCCAACCGAATGCTGCATACACGAAAAAGAACAGGTGCCCATAAGAAAGTTGGTTGAAATTATTTATACACGAAAAAACATTCATATTAGGCTTCATTTCAAGAATGATTTCTTGAGATTTAACCTTTTTTTCGAGTCAAGCGCCCTTGTTAAAAGATGATATTTGTAAATGTGGGGAAAAAAGAGCCTAAGAGGAAAATGTGACTTTAAACCCTTTTAATATTACGGATTTACAAAATTTGGATACGAAAGATAGTTTATTCATCATAAAGTGTTTCATATTAACAGTGCCAGAATAACTTCTAGCCGTTAAATCGCCGCCACGTCTGTCCTCGCCCGGAAGGAGTCGTTCCCTGTTTTGTAACAATGATTGGTGATACAGATGTTTATAATGATCACGCTGCTCCACACAACAGCTGTGTTTCTATCGATGATCATTGCACACCGATCGGAAACATGTTCATAATTATATATAGAGAGAATATTGAGTATCAAAAGGTTGTAGCCTCATTTCCATATGACAAGAAGGTTAGTCTTTTTCAAAATAATCTACAGTAATATACAGCAAATCTACTTAAAAATAGATAGTGCCTCTTGTTCCAGTAGTGCATGTGCAAATATTTGCAAATCAGAGGGAGAGACAAAAGTGGTTATGTTAGTTCATAATTATACTTTATAATTACAAATTCCATCAAACGTGCAAAAACAACACATGCTTTCAAGTCATGCGGAAAAACACAGTTTTCAACACATGCATCGTAATTCCACAGTTAACATAATGACCGTTTTATTTAATGGTGCCCAAATTTCACAAACATTTATTGACTGATTGGAATCCTTAAGCTTATTTTTTAAATTTCAAAGTACGGCTGGAACAAAGGGTAATATCTATATTGCTTTGCTTTTATCTCACGCAATTGTTTTTGATGAAAAATGTTAATTTCAATTTTAGACATCTCCATTCGTAACGGAACGTTCGTTAATTTTACTCATAGTAAATTATAAAACAATTGAAAACTCGACTGAAAGGTCTAATTTATTTCATGTCAAAATTCATCTTTAACTCTTTAATAACTTCGAATACTTCCTTTAAGGGTGTATTCTTCGCACAAGACACCCACAATACGACTCATGTTAAATTTGACTTTCATCATAGTTCTTTTAGTTTGGTGATTGATAGTATTGTTAGGTTACACAAGAATGGATGGAAATTTGAAAGATTCACAAAAATGAATTCATGAGATTATTGAATAATATTGAGTAAACTTCATGACGGCGAAATGTCATTGTGACAACAACTGACTACGTCTGCATTTTGCCAGTTGTCCTTTACGTCTGTCTGAGTTATCTCCCATTTTACCAATGGGTTTAGATACAGGACTTGAAACTCTTACATTAGTCCTTCAATAGCATTGGTCCCATAAATTCACAACAATAATTACAAACCCTATTGCAAATAACCCCGCACTAAATCACTTTGTAAGGTTATAAGTTAGTGTGAGATGTGTGTTATAGTAAGTAAGAAAATGAAATCACATATACTTAACAATGAAATATTGATCTTTAAGAAATTTAAAAATAACAATATCATATCTGAAAATTGCTTATTATTCTTCAATTTGGGTTTACTTTGGAAGGCAGAGGAGGACGGTTTCTATAGAAACACTAAAACGGAAGGGAATATATAGCCTACCGTACAATTACTAACATTCACATTAATGGAATAAAAATCAAATAAAAAGACAAAAAAGGAAAAATCCTAAAACTAATGAAATAAAAAAGTAACACAGACAAATTGGTGCATAGTTGATATATAGTCAGAATTTGAAACTTCCGAAATGTCTTCAAAATGTACAAATATTGTTTTTTCTTTAAAATCGCTCGATTAACATCTAGAATTGCAATAAATGTGTATGTGGTTATGAATTACAATATTTTTGAGAATATTTTGACTTAATGTTTCAACATTCGAGCACTACAATGTATATGTGAATTCATGATTAAAAGTGTTAGGCGTTCCCCAAAAGTGATGTCTAGAAATTAACCACGTGACCACCTAACACTGTTCGTAACCGACATAGTGGTCGTACCTGGCGTCGTCGTAGTCGTAGTAGTAGTTGTGGTGGGGGTAGTTGTTGTTGTCGTAGCTGGTTAACAAAATATATCACTTGCTTTGTAACTAATTGAAATGATTACTGTGAACCTGTCTAAATCACATTCATTACCAACCGATGACAGCATCGATTATTGACCAGTAATAAGAGAGGATAGGGTCAAACACACATATCACATGTAGTTTTTAACCAATCGAAATAATTTATTATTAACCTGTCTAAATAACATTCATTTTTACCAGAAAATAACATCGATTATTACCAATTAAAGGAAACCTTGGGCCAAACACATATGTTGCACCTGTACAATTTGGTAATATATACATTATGCCTTAATGAAATAACAGTTGATTAAAATGCGTATAACCTTTGATACAACTGTGATCATGGCTTAAATGAGTACCTGTATTTACGTGGATAACTATGATAGAAAATTTTGTTTTACTTTGAAAATAATGGCATTGACTCTGATAATTTCAGTTATTAAGTGCTGATAACTGTGATTGGTTTATCATAACTATTGTTGATCATTAATCTTGATGTAAAATAATCTATAATACTATAAAGATTTAAGAATGAGTTCATGCTTATGTCTGATTTTAGCAATAATATAATATAAACAGTATATGTGGTGATTTTAATGGTTCATCCATAAATATAGGACCTTGCATTGGTTGATTTTTTCATATAATATTTCTGAACGAATTTTTAATGTTTCATGTCAGTGAGACTCAAACGATGTAAGATGAAAAAAATCGTTAGGAACGTTATTAATCATGAATTAAATGTAAACTATTCGAAAAGTACGTCCATCACGTGACCACGATATTTGATCTTCTGTTTTCCATGTGACCACTGTCTATATAAATTAGTTCATCATTCATTATAATTCCATAATGCTAAAATAGGTCATGTTAAATAGGTTCATACGAAAAATACCTGAATTGATTATATTCAATAAGTAATATGGTTATCAAATGATAAAGAAAACATTAATGTAGCATGCTAAACATAGAGTAAAGACCCACTGAATAAACTTAATAGATGTGTATATAGATTTACCAATATAATAGATGTGTATATAGATTTACCAATAAAATATATGTGTACTTGATACGTATATAAGAGAATATAATATTTTTGATAATAGATATATTTGGTTGTACCTCGTGTTGTCGTTGTGGTGGTTGGTCTCGGGGTGGTAGTGGTTGTTGTGGTGGTTGTAGTGACTACTTGAGCTGCAGGACGAGGTTTTGCTGTTGGCATATTTTTCTGAGAAACAGAAGCTCTCGCTGAAAATGAAAGTAAAGAAAAGATGAAAATTAAAACTGTTACACTTGTTTGTTGTACATTTTTTATTTTGATGTCATGTTAACAAATGAGATTAAAATAAAAATAAAAGTTTTTAAGTTGGTTCTTTTTTGAAAATTGGAAATGCACCAAATGTTATTTATACGGAAACAATTAGCAGCCTGCTTTATTTTTGTCCTATTGTATTGGTATATTACCATAACAAAACAATATATTCAATAAGTGATAAGAAATGATATTTAGGGTTATCATAAATGTAGTGAATTTTTAATAAAATCCTCTGAAGCCTAATATGACAATTAACGCTCACGGAGTTCAGATCAAAACATATATCCAAATATGGAATTATTGCTAATCTACTTTCATATGAGCATGCTTCTATCATCAGTTTTCCATCTATATAATCATACATCTAACTAATCTCTAAACATCAATTACATCGCATATAACGATAGCAGACTTTCTAAATTAAATATATTATATGACATTTATTATATACATTTTCATATATTGTTTTCAATATGTATTTCTTATATCGTAACAGTATAGACATGCATCACATTTATCATCAATCACCGAAAGGTGATAAATATATTCCTGAATAATTTAACAGAAGTGAAAAACAGCACATTTATTCTCAGTCGCCCATCAAAATGATGCAAATCAATCACCAGACATTAAGAAGACACTATCTCGAAATTATACGTCAAACAATTTCAGCACATATTGGCATTTTGTCCTTTTCGGACTTTGCATTATCACCAAAGATTAAATAATAAAACACATTCTCTAAAGTGTCAAGAAATAAATGTAAAATTATATCCAAGGGGAACGATGCCTCTAAAAACCCTTTATATACGTGTAAGCGTACACATTTAGAACTATTGGCTAAAACTGATAATTAATTGGTGAATAAGAATTCCATGTAAACATGCAAGAATAAATTCTTGCCACAAGATTTCAATTTACAGACTAAATGTAACAATGCTTCCAGCATATGTCACGTATGTAAAGATAAACACATACACAGATTATTGCAATTCTAACATTTCGTTATAGATAATTATGAATTACACTGTATCATACTGTTGCGACTGTCTAGGACGCATCGTTGATGCTAAACTAGGGGTCAAAAGTTTCGAAACCCTAACTGTCTAAACCACTGTTGAACAGCGAAAAGGAGCGTAAAGCCCCATAGTTTATTAATTGAAAAATATAAAAAAAAAAAAAAAAAAATGAATACATGTCTTTATATCTCTAAGGACGACATACAGGACAACGCATCGGATATATATATCACAAATCTATATATATATGAATGATAATGGCATGTCTCTTAAGCATTTCTATATCACCACAAAGGTTATACCAGAAATGTCAATGACACTAGCTTCAGCTTATTTTATCTATCGGTTCCAATTTTTTTTTTATTGTTTATTAATTTATTATAAAATGGTAGTATACACCCTGGTGTAGCATTGAATTCATATTGATTTCAAGTATTAAAGTTTGGATGGCATAAGTTGTTTGTTTCTGAACTAATAAATTCGAAAAAAGGTCTACGATATAACCAATTTCAAGTTACATTATATATATTTTAACAAAATAATTCGTAAAAAATCATCTTGATTATAAATAATTTAATACATGCATACATTTCAATATATATCTAAACCCAAATTAAGGGATCAAGACATAATACAATAAAATGGAAAAGGGAGATAACTGATAGCAAATCAATAAGATATAACTCTAAAATATAATGACTTCTGTCGACAACGTAAAAGAAAACGTTCAAATCAAAGAGAAATGATAACCAAACGTACATAAAATCATTGTGTACCTGGGATGCGAGTTTATGTTACTAGTACCATTTGCGTAAATATGATATAATTATAGTATGTTGCCTTATAAATATTATTAGAAACATTGCTAAATATTAGCAAAAAGCGTTGTATGCCTGAAAATGTAAGTAAGACCAGACTGGGAGGGTCAATATCATATAAAAAAAAGTGCATATACCTAAACATATTACCAAGCATATCCGAGTATTGATAGCCCCGAGCCCGGTGGTTCAAATCCTGGTACGCTTATCGAATCATTAACAGAACCTTCCAAATTTAGAATTTTGAAAATAAATAATTTTAACTAAATTATCTAATTTAATAAATTTACTATTTTAGAGAAAACATCTAAAACATCTATTTTGGAAAACAAGGAAAACGTTACACATTTCTCTTATTTTTCAATTATACATTGTGTGGAAAGCACGGCTCGATTACACGTATGTAATAATTGTTAATACATTCATGGAGATCGTAAAACAATACCCAAACGTGAAACGCGTGCCAGTAAAATCGCCCTATGTTTGAACAAAATTGCGTCCATCTTGTCCAAAGATTGTCTGAACCAAATTTGGTTAAATCCATCTTATGCACGACAGAAGAAGCATTTGAAAGATGTACCTCAATTTTTCATATTTGGATCGACCTCTCTGCCCTAACGGGGGCCACACCCTTTGCCCAAAGATGCTTTCATCAAATTCGGTTTTAAAAATCTGTACAATCATTCAAGGGAGAAGGATCTAAAATATTTTCTTAATTTCCATTATTGGACGCCGCCCCTCCGCCCTTATGGGGACCATGCCCTCTCGTTTGTATTTTATTTTTACTTGAAATGCCCCGTACAATCAGAATATGAAAACAACTTTTACCACGTACTCGTATTGAGATCAGTCTGTCACTTAGGTGAACCCCTCCCAGTGGGGTTACTGTATTAGGATTACACGGCAGGCTCAATTGCAATATGCATATTAATCTTGTTAATTCTGTATATGCATATTGATTTACCTCCACTTATTGATGTTCGATTTTTAACGACAGGTATTTTGTTGCTTGTTTGCGAATAGGTTGTTCTCCTCGAAGGGAAGTAGGCATTGGAGTCAACCCCGAGTAACACGTCTAACTGACTTAGTCCTTAGGGGAAACAAAGCAATTCTAATATACATTGCATAATGTCAATTTCTGTTTTGTCTCTTTTTAATTAAAAACTAATTGATGATATATATGAAAAATTAAAGCCCAACTTATTTTTTTAGCAATTTTAATTTATAAATTTCTGTTTTTGTTTTGTATCCTGGAATTTTTGTTTGGTAAAATTGATAGATAATTGGAAATAATTCGCCGTATTATTTATATTTATAGCATGATACACAGATAAATGTTCAATATATATGGTTAATATTTAGTATGTTAATGGTCCTTTCTTATGTTAAACATCCATATAAAATCTCACTGCTAAACCGTACCCAAGTTCGATATTAAAAGTACATGTCAGGCATAATTTAGCGTGTATGTACTAAATTCTTTTGTTCATGATTTATATGTAAACAGTCATTTTTTTTAGTTTTATACATAACCGTAGCAAATGTATGAAATCAACTGATGTTTAAATATAACGGTAAAGATAGTAGTATAGTTTTGATTGCAACAAAATGTAATACATGGAACATGCATTTTCAAAACAAAGCACTTGCCATCAGTTATCCTATTAAAGTTATCACTTACTTACTTATTATTGACATCTCCTTACAATTTATCAGTTTTTAGTTTAAACATTTTTTATTGTACAAATATACAAATGGATTGGACAACAAGTTATTACAACTTAATAAAAGTCCTCTCCTAAAACGTATCATTACTTTCCTAAAATGTTTCACTAACTTTATTTGAGTCTATAAATGACCTGCTTAAATGTGTCACTAACTTCTTTAATGTTTATTAATGACTTCCTTCAAATTTATCATCAACGTCCTAAAAATGCAAGTCCAATTGTGAAAAAATGATTATTTGCATAAGATTTAATTTCTTACTTAAATCTTCCCAAAAAATGTATCACCGAATGTGCATTAAATGTCATCACCTATTGCAAAAGAATGTATCACTAACTTTTTCAAACTTTCTCACTTCCTTCCTTAAAGTTTTCAAGTAACCCCCAACGAATGTACATCCAAATTCCTAATAATGTTAAGTACTAATGCATTTATTGAGAAATAGTAAAAGTACATTTTCATAATGTTTCAACATTGGTATGTAGGTCTTCTTAAAAACATGAATGGTAGGTTCAGATTTTGTGACCAAAGCCGAATATGCTTTGGGGCTGCCAGGAAGGAGAAAATAAAGTTACTATATATTAAGATTATATTATAGTAATCCAATCATTATGTTACAGTGTTATGCTATATCTACTTTAGTTGTACAAGTCTACTCATCTAGTGTAGACTGAGAAGACATGCTAAGAGAGAAAGAGTGAAAATAGTACTGTGTTATGTTTTACTTCCTTACAGTGGCGATGAAAATAAATCGGGAAAGTGTGACACACAAGCTTACCAGTAATAGTAACATTGGACAGAAGAGAGGAAGAGTTTACAACGGAATGCAAATAACAGAACATAGACATCGGCTTTGCAGCAGATGTCTTCAGCAAATGTCAGTGTTGGAAAAAGTGACAGAACATGACGCCGAACAAGTTGTAACCAATACTCAAGACCGGTATAAAAGTTTTCTGCCATACAATGCCACATTTGTAACAGTTACCACGCGAGGTATAAGAGAGGGAATGCTACCTGATATAAAAAATATTTCCGATATATTTTTGCTTTGTTCTGGGGAATGATTTAAACGCCACATAGTAATTTCAATAATTGAAACTTATATAAGCGTGTTGCCTGACATAACCAATCACTACCACTACGTCATCAGATTTAAAGAAACAAAACCGAGCTAATTAGGATAACGCTAAGCTGCCGCTATCTCATCAGATTAATAGAAAAGTGGCAGGGCAGCCGATGATTACACAAACGTGTAACTTTATCAGATCATGCGACAGAGATATATAGGGTAACACACGATAACTTAAAGCAGGGCATTATTCTAGAAGTGACATAGAAAATGGAAACTGATATTGAACAGTGCTTTGTGACAAAAATGAACGAATGAATGAATGAACGAACAAATGAATGAATGAACAAAATAACAGCTACACCAACAAAAGACTACTGAAGAAATGTCAACAAATCCGTTACTTGGACTCGCAATTAATTAAATGAAGGCAGACTACATGACCATAGGAAATACGAACAAAGAAACCCTTAAAAAAGAAAAACGAGAATACATCAGGTGTTCCGGAAGGGTAAGGGTCTTCTGCTTCATTGACGAAATACACCATAAAGATCTACACTGTAGGACGAATCCAAGTAATGTGAAGTCTTCATAGCGAGAATGGTGTTATTAATTTCATATCGTAGTATTTGGTTAGAATGTGAAACTAACTATAGAAATACAAAAATCTACCTCTTTGCCCATTAGTGAGTGCTTTAACTCTATGAAATGAGAGTGCAACCTTAGTCTACTAATTAAACCGCTACATATCTCATATGGTACCTTACCTCTGGCAAACTCTGATGTTTGCCGATGAGTTACCATGAATGGAGGGGGAGGGGGGAGGGTACGAGAGGAGGTGAGAAAACGGGGAGTGGAGGGGGGCGTAGCTTTGGTGGTACGCCGTGTTGGGAGTACGGTTCGCTTTCTGTTATTGCGGAACATACTTGCTGTGGATAGAATGAGATGGGTTGAGGTAGGATGGCAAAAATGAAGGATACATAAAGAGTATACTATGATATGTGGATCAACTATAATGCAATTATTTGTCATACAGAGCTGAGTACATTAGTTAAAATGTAACGAGATAGATAGTAAAAAGTATATACTTGTGGCCTGTATGAATAATTGATTGTAAAAGCGCGGTCAGTACACGATCTAAGCACAAACCCAAGTTCCGTATCCGTACGGTCTAATCGCACGATCTTGTTGTTTTGGGCAGGGTATTTTAAAACTTGTTCTTATTCACCATTATTTCAAAATTTGTGTTTGGGAGACAAACAAAAAGGACAACAAGAGTTCGCCAAAGAGTTAATAAAACCATAATTCAAATTCAAAATCGGTGAAATTAGGACAAAATTAGAACAACGAAAAGACGTATATGAACAGATAAAAGGTAAATAAGATTACATTTTTTTCACTAGGTTATGTTAAACATAATTTATGATTAATAGGTCACACCTTCTTTAGCAGAAATCGTTCGACGTCTGGATCCGAGGAGATTTTCGAATTGATCTTTCCTTTGTTGTGGAGGTTTGGGTATAAACATACCTGTAGTTAAATACACACATAAATACACATTCAGAGGTTTCCAGCGTAACTGCCTAAACTGCACGATGTGCCGCTTGTGAACGAATGTGTGTACGTAATTGATATCGTTACATAATAATGTGTTTGCTGCTCGAGAGTACTCAAGAATACCTTTATAAACCGTTTGATTACATAAATAAAAAGGAACGTTTTTTTTCATATTTGAAGGTTAATAACACTGTTTTTATTACATATCATCGTAGGAATAAATGTATGTCACAAAGTTCCTACAGGGATCATACCAAAAAGAGATAGTAACAGTCACTCTATGTCCTCTGTATGCAGATGTGAGAATCATTCCATCCCTGATGAATTGAAGCTTTGACATAGAGTGACTTTTGCCATTTATTATATCATCATAAGGACATTGGAATTATAGGTATTCATTCGTGTATCATAATTTACTGTTAACGTTAATGTTTTCGTAACAATAATAAAAAAAAAAAATGTATTCAGGGATACATATATTTAAACATGTCTAATTTACAATATCGCCCTGCATCAATATATTTACAGATATCACAGAAAAATACACATAAACTACATGAAAGACATTTGCAGATTAAAATACATTATATTCAACACATATACAATACTTATTTAATCAGTATATTGTTATATCATAAAGTAAGTACCAAACTAAAGTTTCGAGAAGAAATCCTGTAATTATTTGCGTTTAAAAGCAGCAACTACACGCCTTTCTAATATTTACATGCAATCCATTCAATAAAACAGAACATGTGTACACAAATGAACGTTTAAAATAATTAGTTCTAGCAGTGGGAATATAAAACTTGTTGGAAACTGATGACCTTGTATTTCTAAAACTGATATTCTTGACATCGGTAAACAAAATAATATTCTATTGGCAGCCACTTTAACTGTTTAAAAAGCAAAATGGAACGGGTAAAAACGTCTCTTATATTTAACAAAACTCTAGCTGCTCTTTTTCTGAAGTTTGGAGATTTTATGAAACATCATGTTTTAGAAGATTTGTATTTCAGCGATTCGGCACATCTATGCACATCAAAATACAAATTTTCTGTAGTGCCTTTGTTTATTAAAAAGCGTCGCTTATTTATTGTCAGACAATAAATATGATGTTCCCTTGATCACTAAAATGGAAGTGCATTCTTCGATCTGATGAACCCTTATACACTAGGATAAAGCGTGTTTACTCTCAGTACGTTTACAGCAATTAAAACAATTATTAATTATTTAATATCATTTTATCGCTAGAAAAAGAACGCGTGTTCCCGGTTTTCACTTATCAAGTACGTAACTCTTCCAATGTCAAAAAAATGTAAAATATATAGTATAAACAACCATACCTGGTAAGTTGATTCCAGAAGTCGATTCTGACGCCTGAACCTTGATGTCATTTCCAGTAGACGATGTGTCCTTCTGGGTATTCGATGTCTGACTTTTATTATCCAATATACTGGTATCCTTTTTCGCTAACTTAAGTAGCTGGTAGATAGCCTTTTGCAAAGGTGATATAGTTGTAACTGACGCTCTCGTGGTATCAGCGAGTTTACTCCCTGCTAAATCTGAGACTGGAACAATAACTGGAGGGTTTTTTCCGTCCGTCGATGCCGCTTGTGATTGATTTCCTAGCGTACCCGTATATGAGAATATTTAGGACTTGCCAATTGCATGTTGAATGTTAAAATATATATTCAAGGCAGTAAAACGTGCATTCAGTACAGGCAATAAAAAGTAAAGCCTCTTGGTGAGTAGAGCAGTGCAGCACTGAGCAGTGAAGGTGTTAATTAAGCAAGCGAGATCCACAAAAGTCATCAGAGTGTCAGCAACTTAACTCCATAGTGTGGGTAATTAAGGATCCCTGTCCCACTGTGGACAAATCACTAGAGAATCCCATGGTAGTTTAACGTTCATACATTACTTCCACTTAATTTCTATTAGGATATGAATATACCTCAATTTTGCCAGTGTACTACTAGGTAAGTTTTGTAGCTCATTTGTCTAGAATGACAAAATAATGATCTAGCCCCTTCGTTTTATAATTTTCAAAAAACTAAAAAACTGTTGTTGCTTTTTTCTTTTTTTTTCATAATACTTCTTTACATTGCAGTTACCTTTTATCAAGGCAATAGTCAAACCAAAAATAGTTACCTTGTTTTGTTAGAGATTAACGCAGTGGTACAGGGATCCTTAAACGTACACTGTTCTCATTTAGAATACAACACAAGGACCTTGGCTCTTTATGTTCATAGTGTATATTTAAAGCTGGATCAGCTTAGGTGTTATTTTTGTAATATCTAACTAAAGATCTATTCAATCGATTGAGTTCTGATAAGCATTGACTTAGTATATCAACATTAACCAACATGAGATTCAGTTTACCTGTGTTCGTACTACATGTATGATAATCATGTTTGCATTTATGTTATTTGAACGTTGTATCTTTCGAGACGTCAAAACGTCTCAAATATGATCTAGTGACGGCTTTAGAAATTCTATAAAATAAACTAGGTCAACCTTAATAAAAATTAGTTGTTTATGCATCAAAATATCTGCAAAACTACTAAACACAACAATAATATGTATCCCTCCTTTAACTACATTTCGGTTCTATTTTGTTTGTTTCTGACATGAAACCTACGAAACAAGTGCAAACATTTAACCATGCGTCATGAACCATTTGTATATATGTTCATATTGGAGTACATCATTGTATCATAAGCACTTCTATAAGTATAAACATGCGTAACCCTATATCTGATATGTATGGGCGTCTATGCTAGCTGTTCTTTTTGCTAAATAGTGTAAGCGTTTGGAAAGCGAATGTTGATAATCATCGACGTATTTGCAAAGCCCGACGTGAATCGTGTATTAGAAAAATATTCCGGAAAATATCGAAACGAAAAGAAAAAAGCCATTTAGGGTAAAATTTGAACTTTTTTTAAAGCATTTTAATAAGCTTCCCGCAGCATCCGCTAAGTATACTCTCAGCTAACATATAGTTCTTACCACGTGACGAACCTGATCTACCCCAGTGCTGAATAGGAACACCTGTAACATGTGACGTAACAATCAAAACGACGTCAAACCTGAATGACGTCAAATATCGATGACGTCATCTATAAGGTGAATCAGATTGGAATATAACTACGTTTATTTCAATGAAAAAGCATGATAATGTGTTACTAGTATTTTCTTAATGTTTTGCTTTTCAATTCAATAGTCATCGCTTGGAATCATGATATAATATAAAAAATACACTTCGAAGCGATTAGTTGAATAAATGTCTATATGACATAAATATAAGCGTCTGTATATATCGTCATTTTTTATTTTTATTTTTTATTTTATGTCTCTGATATCATAAGAGGATGATTTTGTGCGAACATTGTAATCAATATTGCATCAATGACCTTATATTCTCTGCTCTATGAAGATAAAGGGCCCTTACGATCTGATATAATTTGTTGGCCAAATATGTATATATTTGTTTGTCAATCAATACAATAAAGATGTTTCATTTTAATAGATATTCCATTTCCAAACTCGACACTGTTGAGTTACTCTGTTGAATAGCTGAACTCGGAGTTAGTTGTGACAAGTGTTAGTTAGAGCTGTAACATCCGTGAGAGCAATAGCAGCCAGACACGCAGCGTGAGTCAAAGACATAGGTGTAGAGAAAGAACACACACAAACACATTAGTGAGAGAACAGGAAACATCTTTGGAAATGTTTCAATAAAGTATAGATAATTATGTGCATATATCAGTATTTCATGCATGAATTATTGTACATAGAGAAAACACACACAAACACAGTATTGAGAAAATAAAACACATTGCAATATTTCAATGAAGTATGAATATTTATATATATATCAGTTATCCATGCAAAAAGTGTTTTCCAGATAAAGCATTATTATTGTATACCATCAAGCTTAACATTATTCCTAAAGTTTTGATCTAAGAGCGCGATTGTTCAAAGCATGGTCACCTTAACGAAAACTAAATGCAAAATTGTTAACTAAAATAACTGATGTCATCAGTTTAAACATTATGTATGACATTTTAAAGACGAGAAACACAAGATCATCTGTATAATTTTCAGATAGTTCTCAAAAATTGCATTATAAACAATCTGCATTAATGAGTAAATAAGCTTATCTTATAGAGAAAAAAAAGGATTCTTGAGCAATTCTGTGTAGAAATATATAACGAATAATCTTCTGTTAAAACAAAAAGGCACCGTCATTCAATACTTAGATACGGTAAGATTACATTTCTAAATCACCGCTTAATATTCACTTCAAGTCATAAATTACATGTATGTATTATTATTGTTTAAATATACGAAAAGGATATTATATATAAATAAACATTTCAACTGTACTGAAATTGGTTGATTATTCGGCGGTTTTGCTAATGTTATAAGTAAAAACGTATACGGCTTCATTATGACGTAAACTTAGTATATGTAATACATAATTGTCATGTCCACTGGTTGTCCTATATACAATCCCGTTGTAGTTTAGCAACTTCTGTTTTTTTTATTCCATTTCAAATATCTTTTAAGGAAAATTCTACTTTATTTAAAATATGTGTTTATCATATGGTATGGTGTCATACAATTTCGCCGTGAGTCGTGAAATGCATTGACCAACATTCCGTTTAATAGATCAACATAACCACTTTAATTCTGAACATAGCAAAAACATATTTAGGCTTATAAACATCACATTATAATAATGAAAATAGTACACAATATTGTTTGATAAAATGTTGATATATACATATAGTCAAGTAAAGGAAATGTATCATTAGCTATTGAAGTTCGACGAAATGAACCCACATTGGTATCACGTTTTCACAACTATATTACTAAGATTCGTTTTTGTAGACTGTATGGAGGTCAAACATATTGTAAGACAAAGGTTAACACTATAGTAGGAGATAATAAAAGACTGACCTGTTCCGACGCTTTGGAGACTAGCTGACCATTCTACTTTCGATTTATTTGTTCCTGTTGATGCCTGGGAACTCACTGAAAAGTAAACACACATTGTATAATGGTTAGGTAAAATACCCTTTGGACATTGGTCAAGCACTGGAGTTACGCACAACGTGCTAAGTGTACTTACATAAAAAAGAATCAATTTATCACAACTTCCAAAAAGTTAAGATAATTAAAGAAATTGGTTCGAGAAAATTACAGTATCAAATAATATTCAAACAAAATCAAAAATCCATGAATCTTACAATATAAAACCGCAGACAAAATCGAATGTTAAGTATAGATTTAATCAATACCCTATCTAAAATAGTTAATGAAGTAATATAGATAAATAGTTCAAAATGTCTTACAATAAAAGTTCATGGTTATTTGTAATTTTGTGATATATAATATGGGTTCATTACAATATAAAAAAGGAATTTATTGTAATACAAATGGGGGTACATGGTGATAAATAATATCGATTAAACCCATAACATAATTTCCACTATGAACACATGTTTAACAATACCAAACAGGGCTTTGATTGGTTATTCGTTCCTATTACTTTAATTGTAACGTTGAAACTAGATTTCACAGATATTGTGACATCGCGAAAGAAAACTAATGAGAGTGCAAATGTCAACATTTTATATTTCAAGGCAGCTCTAAAACAACTTTGAAACAATACTTAAGACAATTGTTTTGTCATGTGATTAACATAACCTTTCATTCATTTCCTTCATATGAGTTTTTTTGAAATTCGCATTTTTCATTTTAGTTGTCATAAACAAAGTCATTCATGATCGTGTCTCACGAAAGGTCAATTCGTCGTCATTAGATGCCGTGTGTATATGGCATTTGCTATCGCAAGGACGTAAACACGTCTAACATCCGATTACTTACGATGCTAGAGTTATGGAGTCAGCTTTGTTGCGACAGGAGGAAGAACGAGTGGTATGTAATAAGAAATCTCGTAAGTGTAAAAACACATTTGAAGGACGGAAAGTTAGTATGTAAGCTTGCGCTTAGGAAAGACAAAACGAAATGTGCCATCCCTTGCAAAAGAATAAAACAACTAAGTTTAAAATAATGTTTAATTGGCCGCTTTTTGTGTGTGCCTTTTTTGGTCCGTCTGTTATTATCTGTGACGACATAAACTAGGTAGTGTTTGACTATGTATGTTATCATTGGGTTACCGCTTCATTAACCTGTCAATGAACAACTATAGCCAACCGCTTACATGTATTACAAACGATTATCAGCCTTGGACTGTTGGTGTCGATGTCATAAGTCAGCTGTTGAAATGTCAATAGTTCTATCTACCATGACAAAATACAGTGATATCTGTCATTTTCACGCCAATGTTTATCACGCGGATATGTTTTGTTTTTGTTGTTGGGTTATTTTGTGGAAGGTACTGTAAACAGTAAACATCATGTGACTACAATAACAAGTCAACTGAAAAGACCGACCATTACATGGCATGGTGTACATGGTATTTAATCAAGATACACCCTCGTTTTTTTATCTAACGTCGTGTCATTCCTTTCGAATTTTGTCTTCCTTCCTTTTCGGTTGTTGTCTCCCTTGGCACGCGTCGTTATATGACCTTGTGAGTTGCGAGGACGTTATACTCCATACAAACAAACATGAACATCGTTATATCAACTTTTATGCATGAAATGTGCCTGTACAAGTTTGACACAGGTATGAGATATGAGGACCGCGATCAGCTGTTTTATCAGCGTCATTCTACAGGACAGAAATAAACAAATTATCACAGTGAAGTCCCACAAGGACAGGATATACATCAGCGTTAACATATAAGGTAAATGTATAAAAATGTCAACACAAAAAAGTATACCACATTGCATAAACGTCAAAATACCACAGCAACAACAAACAAGGAAATTGATACCGGTCCTTCAACTCACACATTAAATACTTCGCGACTTTATCTCAAGACAAATATACCACAGCGTCAACAAACAAGAAAAATATATCACAGCTTCAACTCACAACACCAAATATTCCACATTGTCCACAAACATGGACAAAAAATATCATAGAGTCACGCAAACTTACAACACAAACGGACGCAATCTATCACACTAACAACACACCATGACAAAAGATGCAACAGCATCAACAAACAAGGACAAATATACACTCCATAATGGTAAACACGCTTTACTTTTGAAATATAACTACCGTATACGAAGCACACAATCGTGAGGTCAACTATGGAGAGCGTAGATTAGTGGTTCGCTTGTCACAAAGTGTTACGAGTATTTATGGGGGGCAAATATTGGTAGTTGGCGTGTCTCCAAGGGTTACGTATATTAATCACACAGTGTCAACAACAACGTCATACACAGAACTACCATTGTCCTAACATTGTACACAACGGACATGTTATACATAGTAAATGATAATTATTATGTTTACTGACGTTCGTGGGCTCAGTCACGTGCATGGTCAGTCATGTTACAAGGTCACCAGCGGCATAAAGAGCCAGTGGCCATACACGTGATTTTCAGTCACAAGAACAATAATACAGACGAATACATCTTTTCCACTCGTGATGCCAGATAGACCTTGCCCATGTAAAAACAGCCCACAATCACAATACGTTGGAAAACCGGAACAGGGAAGTAACTCTAGCGGACGATTAATGTATTTGTCTGTTAAAATTATGTGAGTTACATTGATTACATGATCGTTATTTTAGAAATATCTGACAAAACAAGCAATAAAAATATTTTCTAACATAAATAAAACGAGTATTCGTTCGAGGGAACTTTATTATGATTGACAAGTTACCAATTTTCATTAACGCTCATCTAAAAATAAAGATTTGATAAAGTCATTTATCGGGAGAGTTAATACACACCGTTACAGTAATTTTACGCATTGTTATCATCACGAAAGATGTCAAAAATGAAAAAAAAAAATGAAAAAAGTCTGTACTGGTTTGTTGCAAACCTCACCCTGTGATCGCAATAAAATACAATAGATACCTAAGAAGGTATTTAGTGCACAAGACATGCATATCTCGAATAATACAACCCTATTTGTGAAACTGAAGCAAGAAAAATCAACATGCATGTCCAGGATTCAGCGAAAAAATACACGAACAGTTAGCCAAAAATGTTGAAAGAGGCAGTAATGCGAAAACCCCTGCAGAATTGGTATTTAGTATGCCCCCTTTTTGAGGACACTGCTGTAACACTTGTAACAGTTGGGATCTATATAGTTTCATCCTAATCCCTAACAGCACTTTTGTGTTTAGCGCTTTGCTTCGTAATACTTTACTTTACAGTTGAACGATCGCCCAAATGAGGTAGCTATTGGATTCTGTCCCCGTGCCGGAACATACCAAAGTCATTAAAAATGGTAGTTGGTATTTCCTGCTAAACGTTCAGCACTTAAATTAGGTAATCGCAACACTAGAACACCCATTGTCAGTATGATGTGAGCTGGTGGGATACTGTGCTTGAAGCATTCGGCGTGATATTTCAGTGAAGTACAGTAGCAATATAAAGTCGGCATCAGATCTGCGTTATCGCAAGGAGGCAGATATACCAAGTACCGCCTCTAACCCACAAATACATTACACACATTGATGAGGCACGTTCTTAAATGACTTTATGTGCTTTTAGGTCGTTTAACTCAATAAAACCAAATAGGAGGGCGAAATTACTATATTATAATTAAGGATAATGTAGAAACTATATCATTATAGGTCGTTTAACTCAATAAAACCAAATAGAAGGGCGAAATTACTTATTTAATTATAATTAAGAATAATGTAGACACTATATCAGTGTTAAAATAGAGATTTCATATTTTTACGAGACAGGTCAGTAAACCGACTATTTGGTTTATGATACCCTCGGGGGCTTAGGGTCAACAAGCAGCGACACCTATCGCATCAAAGGTCAATCACGCGCTAAATGGTCAGTCCATATCTGACCAGTCCGAAATTGACCATAGATATGTGTCACGGGTCAAAGGTGTGGAGAAAATAGCCGGTTTATTGACGTTAATGGCAGATAAGTGACACATTGTCGTACAATATCCCGACATGCACCGCGCTACATGTCATGTGACGTAGACTTGATTGATAACCCAGCATTTGTGCAGCCTATTTGAATAAGGTGTGGATCAAAGGTCAATTAAGAACAACCCAAAACTAGTTTAAAGTATCTGATATGAAAGTATTTTTTTCGTTATAAATTTCGTCCAAAACTTAGAAATTAAGGATATCGATATTGTTTGCATTTGTTAATTAAAGGCTAATAAAATAATAAATAGAGTACATTTAAAGAGTTCCAGATAAATACCGCATATATTTCACGAGTAAGACAGAATACCGATATTTGTCACGAATGAAAAGACGGACAGAAACTATCAATATATAATGTACCCTACCAGAAGAGTCAAATAAATAATTATTTTTTTAAATGTTCTCCTCTGAGGTTAAACTCACGTTCAAATCTCATTTCGACTTAGTGTAACGGGGTTCTTTAAATAAAATTCGGCAAATTAAGAAAAATTATAAAAGCAAACACACGCCTGAAAAATGTGTAAAAAACTAGATGCTTATTGTCTGCATAAAATTTTGGAAGTGTTTTGAAAACAATACCAGACTAATCCGGCATCCATTTAGATAACGAATCATCTATTCAATGCTGGAAGATCACCTTTTCTGACGGTAAATTTATCAATAAAATTGTTATTGCATCATATCATATCAATATTTGTAACTGTAGCGAGATGGTTACTGTAGTGCGAGTTGTAATTGTTAAATATTATATTAAAATGATACGCAAAACAGAAGCACACTAGCCCCCAATGTCGTGCCTGTTTCAGGAAAGGAAACATAACTTTTTATATCAGGTGTTAAATTTGCACAGATGGCGAAAAAACAGTATATTGTTCCTTTAAAAAAATCGCTGTTTTGAGATAAAGTATAAGTTAAAGAAATTTCACTTCTAGTATTTGGAAGAAAGTACCATTTTTATCAAGTGTGCGGACATTCTATG